ATGTGGAATAATTATATGGAAAAATAAATGTTTGTGTTTTGTTGAAAAGATAAAATTCATTTATATACATTAAAACGACCAACTCAAACTGATAACGTCGATCTATTTTAACTAATAACAAACATATATGAACTGACATTATTTTTGTTGTCTCCATCATGATATAGCAATATTTTATGCTGAAAGCCAATACTAATATTCAAGATCATATTACGTGAATTTTGGATTAGTGGTGTTATCTAGGCCATTCCAAATATTGGGTTACCTATCTTCCCTTCAGTTCTCACTTAAAAGGAGCTATTGCGGTGATCGAAAGTTGTACATAATTCGATCGAGAACTGCTCAATTAACTGTAAGATCATAATCAAAATTAACCACAAGAACATATTCGTTCTTTTATACTTTTATTCGGTAAAAAAGATTCCAAAATGGGTAACAATAATGTTCTCATTATTAAGAATGTGAAATTGGTCCAGAGTTGCCTTAAATAAATAACTGGACCTATTTGTTCCACTTTTGAGTGGAATATCTTTATACACAATTATTGTTTCTCCACTTTGGATTCGTGAAAGTGACTACTCAACCTTTTCTTGGTACGTAAAGTAGTTGTTTAGTTAATTGATTTTTAGTGTATTTTGTAAAAAAAATAAAAAATACCATATATATTCAATGTTCAGTAAATAAAACATTGTATTTTGAAATGTGAAATGAAGTTCAATAATCCAACGATGTTTTCTTTGCAAGGGCTGTTGTTATAGTTTGTTGTGGAGGAGAATTAAGTGTCGTAATGTTATAAGACGAATTTTGGACTTTTAGTCCTTTTTCTTTTCAGTTAGACGATCAGCTATAGAAATATAAGAAGCATGTTTAAAGTCCTGACCACTGAGCCAAATGGCTTTCACAAATGTATCATCATTTATGAAACTGCCTTACTCTCGCGCGCAAACAACATGTGTACTGATCAAATTCAGAACATATCTTTCACATTTAGATGTTTAAGAGTTAAACAATCGTTTCCAAAATTTCCAAATACGTTTTTCCATGTTACCACTTACAATTCCATGCAGCTTAATTTCCATATATATACAAAAGTCAAAAACTAAAAGCACTGAAACAGATCCCATTCAAGCTTGAAACTACTGGTGTACTTATACTTTGTAGACATTTGGTATATGAGAAAAGTTTTAGGAGTTGGGCTTTAACTTTGAAACTGAAATAAAGGAAAAGAAACATACCTCGTTTCTTCTGAATATAAGAAGTAGACGATTTCAAAAGTTTAATTAACCAGCTAAGCTAAATAAGTAAATATCCTAAATTGATTTGTAATCTGATACACTAAAAAAAGGACGCTCTGTCTATTGTGTTCTTCTTGTTCTCGTTTTCTTTTGTCGCTCAACAATATAGAGTAAAAACAAAAACATTTAGAGAAGAAAGAAAAAATGAACAATTGAACATTACATCGAAAAATATAATTTATTTAAGCACACTGTAATTCTAACAACGACACAATCATGTTATATATAAAAAAATATATATAAAGAGTGTCAGTTCTTGAACTCACTCTTACATTTCTCCGAAACAATCTCGACCTTCTTCGCATCTAATAATCCCTTAACGTTAACATCACAAGTCACCACCACATCCTTATTCTTTTTCACCGGTCCTGCTTCGTACACTGCATTCAGCTCCATCGCCAGCACCAAACTTATTGGTTGTTTCGAACCCCGAGGTGGCATAACTGCGTTCTTGGTTGAACCATCGAGCTTTAGAGTGACCTTGTTGGATCCAGACGCGGCCTGGGACAGCCTCGGGAATATCCCGCGTCCCAGTCTCTTGAGCTTGTAGGTCAAGGAAACGATTTCGTCTTTTTTCATCATATAGATTACCCCCATGTTAGACGTTGGATTCTTGGCTCTCAATGTGACCTCGAAATTACTAGGTTGTACAGAGATTTTCTCGATAGCAAAAACTGGAAGAGTTGGTTTGAAAACATAATGGAGGGTGAGAGTGATTGCACCGAGGATTAATCCGAAAGCGATCAAGATGATGAAGATCCACATAAGACGTTTAGAACACCAATTCTTTTTGTTTTTCTCCGGCTTATTTTGGCGTTTTTGGACATATTTTGCGTTTTCCGGAGGTGGTGTCCAATAGACTTGATCTCTCGGTACCTGGACAACGTAAGTCTCTAGCTCAGGGATTGAATCCGGAGGAGGAAGAGATGAAGGAGGTGTGGCCAGGATTGGAGAGAGATTAAGAGAATGGTTACGCCAATGTTGCGGTGGTTGATCTTGAGATGGCAATGAGGGGAGGCTAGAGGTTGGACGGTGCCAGACGGAAGGAGGATCGTCAGGCTTGTCATCGTCGGCTTCGTGGTGGGTGGTGGTGGCGGAGGGAGGAAGCCGGGGCCCCTCCATCAGAAGAAGAAGGTGCGAGTTACAAAATGTGTGGTGGAGATTGGTTTAGAGGGGAGACGAAAGAGAGAGAATTGAGAGAAGATGCGAAAATTAGGGTTTGCATGGGAAAAGTAAGTGGTCGTTGTTGCATTACTCAAAGTTTCGGTTGGCTTGGAGAAGATTTTGCTATTTAGAGTTAGCCAACTCACCTTCAATTCTCGTTTTCTGTTATTTATAAAACTACATTACAAAACCCATACATCTATAGACTATAATATAGTTTGATGGCGCAAAAAGAAACGTTACTCTCTTTGTTTGTTTAGTCTTTTTTTGTTAAGTAGTTACTGTCTTTGTTAACGGGGTTGACTTTTTAAACCAAAACTGAAACTAATTTGAAAAAAGTATTAGTGTAATGTTTTATAGATTAGTGTATATGTAAATTGTAATTATACACCAATCAACAAAATAACAAGATCATATCAAATGTGATTGAGTAAAACTAAAAATACTTTTATATTCTTAAGGAAAATGTATTTGTATTGCTATATTACCTATATATCAACACTTTGTAATAAAACAACAAATGGTTTGACCTGAAGTTTTTTCGAATGGCCATTCACAATTATTTCAATGGGCCTTTGTTGCTACCTCGGTGAGGCAGTGACAATAGTAACACACATAAGCACTTAAAATTAAATGCTAGTTACATGAAAAAATATCAAGGAAAATCTTATCTTCCATATGGCCTACAGTTTTATACGATCGGAAATTTTCTGAAAAGCAATAACAAAAAAAAGTACGTATGTTTTTCTAATCCACGTGAAACATGTGGCACTCAAATGGGAAAATCACAAGAAAACATAATAAAATGAAAAGTACGCAATCCACAATATATAATTATTCCGGTCTGGATGCATTGTGCCGACCTGTCCGCTGAGTAAACGACGTGCTTAAAACTTAAAAGACTCCAAAACATACCTTCATTTTTCATCACAACGAACCAAAAACCGCCACGTCAACTCTACACGCTACTCCGAAATGTAGACAACACATATTTTGCAGCAAATCTATTAATAGTTGGATTAGATCAGATCTTACATTTCTTACACTCATATCATATCACCAACAATGGCTCGCTCTGACTTTCTCCTCCTCTCCCTCCTCCTCATCGCCACCGTCTCATCCGTCGCATTTGCCGTAAGTTCCCCAAAATATTTTTTTTTGCTCTCCTATTTGTTTTTCTTTACATGCACATTACCACATTTTGAAATCTTGATCATGACACAACTGTAGTAGCACTAGTTACAAACACAAGTCCCATTGATTTAAAAAAAAAAATTCACAGGGCGATGACGCAGATTGTGTTTACACGTTTTTCCTCCGAACCGGATCCATCTTCAAAGCCGGTACAGATTCCATCATAAGCGCAAGAATCTCCGACAAATACGGAGACTACATCGGGATCCGAAACCTAGAGGCATGGGGTGGATTAATGGGAAAAGGTCACCACTACTACGAGAGGGGCAGTCTCGACATTTTCAGTGGGAAAGCGCCGTGTCTTCCGAGCCCGGTCTGTTCATTGAATCTGACCTCCGACGGCTCCGGTGACCACCATGGATGGTATGTTAACTACGTGGAGGTAGCGACGGCCGGAGTTCATGCAAAGTGCTCGCGCCAAAGCTTCGAGGTTGAGCAGTGGCTTGCCACCGATACGTCGCCGTATAACCTCACCGCCGTTCGGAATAACTGCCCGGTTTCTCTTTGGGAGAGTGTCGGTCGGGTCGGGTCTGAGATCCGAAAGTCTCTCTTTTGGATCGTGTGAGGTCAATGAATGAATGAATGTGTTTCTTGGAGACTTGTTCTATGTCTTCTTGTGAACGTGTGGTGGCAATAATGAAAATGATTCGATCAAATGGAATTTTTAATTCTGTGATTTTTAATCAAATGTTTAAGAGATGATAATCACTTGTTTGATGTATTTTCTTTTTGATAAATAAACGTTCAAAGCTGAATATATTGATGCTTTCAAATCCTTACCTTACCAATTACAAGACTAAAAAAGTAATATTTTTTCTTTCCACCAAATTATTAGAAATATAGTGACGGATCTTTAACTTTTGGTCTGCAAGATCATCAGATCTTCACATGGCTATCTGTCGGATCTCATAAACAAAAAATAAGAAGATATATTGGGTCAAGACTCAAGTGAGTTTTACACTATCAAATTATCAACATTAGCACATTTGACACTATTATAGATCGATATGACAGTACTCGGTGACTGAGCTAGCGACTTATGGGCTTCTGAAAAAATATACTGGCCCATAAAACGAAATGATTATCAGCTTATTAAACTCGACACGGGCCACATGGCGAGAAGAATGAAGATGAACTTGCAGCCAAACATTCCTTAAGATCTTTCGAGTACTAAAACGATTCACGGATAGAGACAACCTTGTAGCCAAACACACAATAATTAGATTTCCGCATTTGATACCCGATGATTTCGAATTCGAACCCTTTCTCATCTTCCTCGATAATCCCGCGCTCATTTGAATCGGTGCTTCCTGCGAAATTCGAATTCTCTCTCCATCGTTCACTTCCATGGACGATCACATTCTGATCTCCGACGGGGAAGATCAGACTACTCCACTCCCATCACTCTCGAAACGGGCTCGAAAGGAACCCATCTCTGCGATACTGATATCCGATTCCGATCCGACGCCGCAGAAGCAACCGCCGGAATCTTCGTCCACTCCTTTGTTCGTCCCTGATACACCTTTTCCCGATGATTTCTCTGTCGTCAAGTGTCGTCAAGCCGTAATTTCAAACCGCGATGACAAATTCTCCGGTTAGTTAACCCTCGATCTCCTCAATATTCAAATTCTCCGGGTTTTTTTCGTTATATGGATTGATTTTGATTACTGGGAAGCTTTTTCTACTTGTGAAATTTTGTGATTTCTGAGAAATTTCTCATTTTTTTTGTTAGTGAATTATCAGGTTAAGGTATAATCCACTTACTTCTGTATGTTGATATTGGAATCTCACTAGGCAAACGAGTCATATCTCTGGATTCTGAGTTCGAAGATAGTCCACAACCCGAAACTTCGAAGAAATATGGACCTGTGCTTGCTGATTTTAGGGAGCAATGTCGTGGATTAGAATCTGGATTCAGTGATGCTGATTGTAGTGAGGCCAACTATGAGAATGCTAGAATACCTGAGAGAAGCTCAGGTATGTTTACCCTCAAAATTAATAAACTCAAATGTATCTATCAAAGTATGTGTGGTGAACAATGATATGCTTACTTGTCTATGTTTCATTTTGGAATTTCCCTAGGCAAACGGGTCATATCTCTGGATTCGGTGTTTAAAGATAGTTCTCGACCTGAAACTTCGAGAAAGTATGAACCTTTTAGGGAACCGCATCATAGATTGGATTCTAGATTCAGTGATGCAGATTCTATTGAGGCGAGTACTAAAATAATTGAGTCAAACATTGGTATGCTTACCCCAAAACTAAACTCTTATAGAATATCTGATACTATTGGTGATGAATTTCATTTTCGTGTTGTCCACTTACAAATGGTTGTTGTTGTTTTCTTTCAGATGATAACACTAATTGGATGCATGAAGTCAGTTTTCCCCCGTCGTTGACCAGTGATACTATCGAGGTACTAAATTGTTCATCATTGGTGCAGGAACTAGGAGATTTTTAATTCTATTACTTGTGAGATTTTGTAAAGCTGTCTTTTATGTGACAATTCTCGATACCCTTAATGTGTCTTCAGAATTTAGTGTGTGTTGCTTTTGTTTCGTTGTATTGTGTTTCTCTTATTTCTAAATGGTACTAGCTGTATATACATTGGAATTTCTTGCTTCTGCCGTTGTTTTGACTTGGTCGAAAATATCAGGTAGATTCTGACCAAGAAAAAGAAAATATAAGCATCGAGAAAATGGCTCGGAAAAAGCAGATCAGAAGCCACAAAAGTACTGCTCTTCCGGGTGAAGCATTGCCAAAAAAGCAGCTGTCAAAGGAAGAAAAGATTCATGCAATGGAGGAAAAGAAGTTAAGGAAAGAGGTAAGTGCTCTTTACGCGGCTCTTCTACTTTGTGTTTCCTGATCAAATAGTTAACTGGATTCCATCATCCAGCAAGAGAAATTACAGAAAGCAGCCTTGAAAGCAGAAGAAGCTCAGCGTAAAAAGCTAGAGAAGGAAATGCAGAAATGGGAAAAGGGAAAGTTAGCCCTTAAATCTATTGTTGCTGAGATTGATACTAAATTGGTGGAAGGATCCATTGGAGGTACGAAATTTCTCTGTTCTTTATATCTTTGCTCTTTGACTCTCTTTTTTTTGTTTCATAGTTTTGACTGAGTGGCTCTGGTGTAATGTTAACATAGGACTTCTGCTTTCAAGGTTCTCTGAGAAAGGCATTACATTCCGCGTAGCACCTAATCCAATAGAGAGATCCATTGTGTGGACAATGACAATTCCAGAGGATATTGCTCCGGTACGATAAAATCTCAGTCGCTTTGGATTTTTGTAAATTTTTAATGTTATTATACTTTGTTGCCTCATCTTTACTATGCTGCAGGTTTTTCCCCAAGGGCCTAAGATTCCTTATGTCTTACTAGTGTATGAGGCTGAAGAGTTTTGTAATCTTGTTGCTAATGAAAGACTTCTAGAAAACATCTCAAGAGCTCAGGACTTCTACCCATTTTATACTGTATGCTGCCTCACCAATAAGTTAATGTCCTATGTAAAGAAAAGGTGAGTTTGATGATTCAAATTTTGTATTGATCTAATTCTGTTTCCATCCTGAAACTGAATAAACCATATCCTAGGGAGAAGGAAGAGTACAAGAACCCGGGAAATTGGATAAGCCCTCCTATTGATGAGGTAAATACAGCATCTAATGAGGAAAAACCATCTTTTATTGCTCTTTTGTTTGTGTTCTTAAGCATGCAATGTGGTATTTGATGTGTATTACAGGTACTTGCAAAATTAACTACTCACTATGTTAAAGTACATTCAAGACATTGTGTAGACGAGGCTGAGGTCGCTGAACATGTTGTTGGTTTAACAAGCAGTCTAGCCTCTTGCCTGTTCAGGTAAACACTATATTCAATTCCAAAAGATTTGATCTCGAATTAAGGCAATTAAAAGCTCTCAAATCAAAGGCTTATGTTGAACCTATGAAACCATCTTCTTGTCTTAAGTCTTCAATCATACATGGCCAAAGATACAAGAGGCCAACATTATGTAGATCTGAGTAAATAAATGGAACGTGTGGCTGAAAAATGAATCATGTACATGACTTTGAAGGGTACTAATCATGGCTCCTCTGTCTGATGCACAGGAAGAAATTAACAATGTTATCAGTGAACGCTAATGGTGCATTAGTCTCCAAGGATTCACTTGATAAACAGTTGATTAAAAAGAGTCCATGGTAAAATAAAATTAAACCTATTTCACTTTAGTTTGTGTTTTTTTCTGCGTCTCTGATTCTGTCAAATATATTGTAACGATATTACACTTGTTTGTCTATAGGTTAAAAGCGTTAGTAGCAATACCAAAGGTACAACCAAGATATGCTGTAACAGTGTGGAAGAAATATCCATCAATGAAGTCTCTTCTTAAAGTTTATATGGATCCGAACAAATCGGTAAGTGAAAAAACGCGCGGATTTTTGTACTTGACTCAGTTTAATTTTTTTTTTTAACGGTTTTGTGTTGGATGGAAACAGATTCATGAGAAGGAGTTTCTACTGAAAGATTTGAAAGTGGAAGGTTTAGTAGGAGGAGACAAAAGGTTAGGGGAGATGTGTTCAAAGCGAATATACAGAGTTGTCATGTCTAACAATGGAGCCATTAAGCCTGATGACGTCGAAAACGGTGCTGCTTTTTTCACGCTCTCTCCACATTTTTGTGCCAATTAAAAGGGCCTAATGAGCGACGATTAAAGTATAAATTGTTCTCTCTGTGGAATATATTGATATAAAACAGTAGTAGCATGAGCATGCACATAAAGTTTATGTCATAAACCATATGGCTCATTGGATACAAACACATTGTCGTCAAAATCACTCAAGCCGTCTAAGAACCCAAACCTCACTTTCTTTCGGATTTTGATTGAACATACTAGAGACAAAACATTAAAATATAAAAATGGAGTTCTAGTTCCTACAAGCAAAGAAAAACATGAAAAAGTGGAGGAGATGTTTCCTTTAACATTAATAGACCAGTTCTCATCTTATTCCCAAATCGAAACAAATAACATATTCAATTTATAGGAAAAAAAAGACACACAAGGAAATGAAACGAACAAAACAGAAATCTGGAACCGTGATTTATGCGGTTTGGTTTCTTCAACTCCATCGGACGTGGGGTTTGAGGTTTGACGGGTCTACGGCTTTTTGCAACCGTGACATACACAATAACCCTTGGGGTTACAGCTGCCCTTGGTATAAACACCAGCTTGCGTGCAATCTTGTGTGCATAGACTAGGAAAACAATTATTCTTGTATGCGACTTGGTTTTCTCTACATGGTGCAGCCTTCGCAGTCTCCACTGTATTATTAATGGAAATGTAAGAAAGCAACATTCAAAGTTCAAACCCCTTACGTGTATATTTGTGTATGGCATTTATAATTAGCTGATGAGTTTGGTTAAAAATATTTAAGATCATAGAGAGTGTTTGAAAAGATTACACATAAGCGAGAAAATCAAACACAAGTCACACACTTGGAAAAGATTCATACCTGTCATAATCATGAAAATCACCAAATAAGTGATGAAAGCAATGGCACTTACACCTTTCGCCATTTTCACTTTTAAGTTTCAGCTACTTATACTTTTTTCCCTTTACTGTGTGAATGTTTTACATATGCACACAATCATCTAATCGTTGGATATAAAGGAAAATTTTCCTAAGAATAGAAGAAGAACGAAAATGTAGTACTCCATACAAAAATGCCTATAATTTTAACAGTTAGTTAGAAATGAAGAAAAAATCAAATCTAATGGACCACATATTTTCCTCCCCTCTGGTCCATTAGATTTGATTTTTTCTTCATTTCTAACAAATCAAATCAAATCAAATCAAATCTAATCTTAAGTTTACTAATTTAGTTAGTAAACTAATTTGATTTTATTTAGCAGGACCACGAGAATTTTGTAACCTTGTTTTGCTGACGAAAAATTTCTGAAAGTATCTCAGGAGTTCAAGAAACAATTTATATGTTGTGCTGCTTACCAATAAGTTTAATGTCATTCGTAAAAACTTGTATTACTGCAACACTGTTGCCTTAATGTTTCCATCGTGAAGCTTAGTAAAACTAATCCTCTAGGGGAAAAGAAGAGTACCAAAAACCCATCAAACTGGAGACGGCATCTTATAGATTACAGTACTACAGCATGTCATCATCCAATTATCTGAGCTTGTTTTTAAAGGAAATCTTCTCTATTTCTCTTTTGTGGTATTTGCTGATTGATATATGTACTTGCAAGATTAATTTTAATCCAAGTATCTCTCCATACTAAAATGTAACACAGCAAGCCAACTTCTCTGTTTTTGTTTTACAATTATGTTACGTTATGCTGGGATCGTGATTTGATTTACGTTGTTTTTTTTTTGGGTAAAGAAAAACAAGTTTCTCTGAGTGGGCCAAAAATAAACCACTGAATGCTTCTTTATATGGAGTCGTTAAAAAGCCTTAACTAAGCAACGACCTTTTTAGGTTTGCAGGTCTTATTAAATTATATAACAAGTTATATTATTAACTTCGAGTCGAGTAGAGATCTCTCATTCTTGATTTTTTCATCGTTGACTTTCTTGCAAGTTAGCATTGCGATGGAAGAGCTCAAGCTCAAGCTCAAGCATTGCGCCCATGATTGCGTGTTGACTTCGCCGGAGATCGTCGCCGACGGCATCTGCAACATATGTTACAAAGATGAACCGGTGGAGTTCGCTTGTAACAATTGTAATTTCGATCTCTGCAAAACTTGCTCCATGATCCCACCGACGGTCTCTCATGGTTTTCACCCACAACACCCCCTGGAGTTTTGTATAAGGAAAAATGAAGGGACCACAAGATCCATGCTCTGCTCTGGGTGTGGGACTTTGTTTTCTGGGTCTTTTTACTTCAAGTGTAAGGAGTGTGAGATCTATTTGCATGTCGGTTGTGGGCTCCTGGAGAACATCACCACTGGCTGGGACGCTGAAGAAATTTTCCATTACAGCCATGTCCACTCGGTTAGGAGGTGTAAACCAGGACTAGACTCCAATGCCTCTTGCCTACTCTGTGAGCTTCCGATTTCTCCATCTGCGATATCTTATGATTGTGCTCAGTGTTCCTTGTTTGTTCACCAGCACTGTCTTGATCTTCCGAGAGAGATTCAACATCCTGTGCATCCTGCACACCCGCTCATACGCCTTGATTTCACATATCTTTGTGGTGATGGAATTGATTGCAATGCATGTAAACTTCATATCGATGGTGTCCCGTTTGGTTGCCCAGAATGTAATGTTTACCTTCATATGAGGTGTGCAGATACCTTGTTGCGAGGTCTGGTGTACAAGTCTCCTCAGCACAGGTTGTTTTATCGTCTTACCGGTGCTGATTATGATTTAACTTTTCTACCATGTGAAATATGCAAGGGCATTGATAAGATCTCTGTCGATTCCTATTTTCACTGTATGGAATGTGATTTGAGGTTTCATTATGAGTGTCTTGGGTTGCCCGAGTCCATATTCAGGAAATCTTATCACATCCATCGTCTCTTCTGTAAGACATTCCAAACCCGAGATGATGAAGATTCTATGGAGTATTGTGGTGTTTGTGAGACATTGGTACATACGGGACATCCTGCTTATTCCTGCAAAACATGTGATTTTGTGAGTCACATTGAATGCATCCTACATGAGGTAATTCAAATGAAACATCAATGTAGTTATGTTTATTTTTCTTTCTTAATAGGATTGATGGTAATTATAAGTTACAATTCATGTACTCACAAACAACAGGAAGTGCCTTCTCCATTATACTTGAAAGATCTCTATTCTTGTGGAAAAGAAGACGTCGTCACCAAGCCAGTAGATCAAGAGGACATCAGTGAAGCCAAAAAATTAGAGAGCAAACTTATGGTATGGTTACATAATTTAGAATGTTTTTTCTTTCTTGTAGACCTTCCCTCAATGGTTTGATGTATATATCATGCAGGTTAATGGTATCAATCATACTCATGTGCTGACATTGGCCGGACCTAGGAAAGCCCGTGTATGCTGTTATATTTGTCATGAGGAAATATTTGGTAGAACATGGAAGTGCAATGTAGTAATTGGTAGACCATGGACAAACAGTGCATGTACGTTCACGGCACACAAGAAATGTGTAAAGTTAGGGAAACCATCTAGGCATGCATTTCATTTGGACCATGTTTTGACACTCCTGCCAGGTAACCCTGCAAAGAAAGTTATGAATTGTGGAACCTGCAAAGCGGAGATAAAGTCGTATAATCTCTTCTGCCGCATTTGCAATTTTATCATATGTACCACATGCATGGTAAAAGCTAAACATTTTCTTGGAGAATCCCATAGAGGGAAGAAACTCATCGGAGCTTGGGAAGGACGATGCTTGCTAGACAGACATTTCTTAGTTCAAGTAATGGTATCGAGGTCATATCCGATGGGTTGCAACTTTTGTGATGGGAGGTTGTCTGGAATCACTCTGTCATGTATGGAATGTGATGATATATATCATCTTCGGTGTACTAAACTTGGGAGACAAAAGAGATTCACTAGTCTCCTCCATTCTGATCACACACTGAGATTAGAGCTGATGCCTCGATCCAACTCCAACTCCACCTCCACCTCCATCTCAAAGTGCACTTCCTGCAAACTGAGCATTACAAAGTATGGCCTTTGTTGTTACCCTTGCAAACTCAGTTTCCATATAAAATGCAGCGAATTAGTGGAAGTCTCAGAAGATACCGGGTCGTCTCACCGTCACACTTTCTATAACTATTGGATTGATGATTGGAAGTTGGCTCGAACCTGCAATGTTTGTTCAAGAGTTTGTGGTATGTCCTTCTACGGATGTATTGATTGTAACTTCAACGCCCATGTGGAGTGTCTTGGGTTTCCAGCCAATGTGAAGAACCAACTGCACAAGCACACGCTTGAGCTATCATTTACTTCTCGCAGTAAAAAGGAAAATTGTTCTCATTGTGGACTTCCTTGCGATAAAAGGGTTTACTACTGCCATCACTGCGAGGTCGTGTTCCACATGGAATGTTTAATGTCCACGGTAACTATTTGATTGATCATCTTTTCTTTTTTGATAAACTGTTATGGACAAAAGGGAACCATCCCTCTTGTATTACTATACTAGGCTACCATCTCTTTGGTGTTGATTGATCATCTTCTTTTGTTTTCCCATTTTAAGAATTTTTTTTTTTTTTTTTTTTTGGTGTGTAAAATGCAATCAGGATGAAAGTAAAGCAGCAACAAAAGAGGAACAGCTTCAAGACATATATCTTATGTACATTGAGCGTCATCTCTTAAACCTTCTTGGGAAAGATGGCTCACACAATCATCGCTTCGGGTATAAGCAAGGAAGTAAGTCTATGTTTGTTTCTGTTCTGTCATCCCATATTTGCATTAGTAATGGAACTTCTCTTATGAGGTCATCCCTGAAGATCCTCCCATTAATTTGCTCCTTACCGTATTTACAACAGAACCACTCTTGATGGAGGAGACAGACAGTACTGATGAAGAAGACCGTAGTACTAGTAGTGGTGACGAAAGCAGCAGAGGTGAAATAGACAGCGATTCTTCTTAGAGGACATTAGGTTGTGCCTCTGAAACTACGTTCTGAAACTTCTTTTATCCGAGGTTTTTTTCTCTTATAACCCCGTGTTTATAATCAATTTGGTGAAACTTAATTATGTTTGCAATATGTTTAAGTGTTGGACTTTTACTCTGTTTCTATCATTGTTTGATACTAAATCCATAATTACCTTGGTACAGAATCACTGTTTAAAGCTGGATAGCAGAGGAACTACTTAAAGACATCTATTATCTCTTCAACCTTTTGAAAGACAAAATTTTATCTCTTGGACCTTCTCAAAGACAATAAGTCTTAGCGAGTGAGGTTCTTCTGCTTCCCTCTCTCAAACTAAATCCTACTGCAAACTTCTTACCTCTTATGTCATGCCTCAAAATATTCTTGTCTTTCCCCTTGTCGAGTTTAAAATACGTTTGTTGAATTGTGTTGACAGTATGTTTATTTTACTTGTTTGTTATTGGATCATTGTTTTGTTTTTCTTTTATTCTGACTGTTCTGAAACAGACTTATCACCAGTTCACCACTATGGTCTAAAACTCCCCCGAATCCGTTTAGGACTAGACGCTAAAGGTTTGCTCAAGCGTCCACCAATTTTACACCATAGTGGTGGACTGGTGATAAGTCTATTGACGCTCTCGTTAGCATCTCCAACACTTTCGCAGCAGATTGGCTCAAGCGTTATTGTACACACACACAAATGAAAGTAAAAGTAAAAACATTCTCAAAGTTTAAAGTTTCAAGGCACACCAGAAGATGAATAAATGAAGCTACACATACTACAAATGAGGACAAGAAAATGTTACAAATGAATTGAATCACTAACAAATAGTGAAACCCCAATTTTGCAGCACAAGGCAACTGATAGAGCGCAGACTTTGAAACTGTTAAATTTGATGGTTTTGGTGTCAAGTTTTCTTACCTTTCCCATTTTGCTCTTGTTCTTGCATGAAACGTGGGTGCTAAGGAATCATGAGGCAGTGGTCATTGCACAGAGTCGAATGCCTTTATGGGCAGTAGAGAGTATGTTCTGACTTTATGAAAAATTTCTAGAAATATCTCAGGAGTTCAAGAAACTATTTATACGTTCTGCTGCTTACCAATAAGCTAGTTTAATGTACTATGTAAATAAAAGTCGAGTTTGATCAATGTAGAAACTTGTATTACTGCAACAGAGTTGCCTTAATGTTACGGTAAAATGAAAAATGTTTCTTTTGGTAAAGAAAAACAAGTTTTCTCAGAGTGGGCCAAAAAGTCTGGACTCGTTAACTCAGCCCTGACTTTTTTAGTTTCGCGGGTCTTATTCAATTATTTAAAAGGTTATTATTATTAACTACGATTTGAGTAGAGAGAGACAGATCTCATTCTTGATATTTTCCAACGTTGACTTTCTTGCAAGCATCGTGATGGCAGAGCTCAAGCATGGCGCCCATGAATGCGTGTTGACCTCGCCGGAGATCGTCGCAGACGGCATCTGCAACATCTGCAACAAAGATGAGCCTGTGGAGTTCGCATGTGATCTTTGTAACTTCGATCTTTGCAGTCCTTGCTCTAAGCTACCACCAAAGGTATCACATAACTTTCACACAGATCATCCTCTAGAGCTTTGTGTAGGAAAGATAGATGGGGAAACTAGACACATGCTCTGCTCTGGTTGTGGGAATTTGTTTTCTGAGGCATTTTACTATAAATGTAAAGAGTGTGAGATCTATCTTGATTTGAGTTGTGCGGTCCTGACGAGCATCGAAACGGCTTGGGATGCCGAAGAGAAGCTACATTATAGCCATGCCCACTTGCTTACAAGGTGTAGACCAGGAACAAATGCTAGAGGCCGCTCTTGCCTTCTCTGTGAGCTTCCTCTTTCTCCATCTGCTATATGCTACGGTTGCGTTCTATGTAACTCGTTTGTTCACGAGGGCTGCCTTGATCTTCCAAGAGAGATTCAGCATCCCGTGCATTGGGAACATCCTCTCATACGCCTTGATTTCACACATAATTGTGGTACAGGAAAGAAATGTGACGCATGCAGACTACCTATCGAAGGTGTCCCGTTAGGGTGCCCGGAATGTGGTTTTAATCTACACATGAGGTGTGCAGATGCATTGCTGCGAAGCTGTTTACACGACGACTATCCTGATCACAAATTGTTTTACAGAGCTAGCGGTGCTAGTAAACATCGTTGTGTCATATGCAAAGGAGGTGCTGTCATCTCTCTTGATTCCTACTATCGCTGCATGGCCTGTGATTTTGAGTATCATTACGAGTGTCTTGAGATACCGGAGTCTGTTGTTAAGAAATCTTATCACGTTCATCCTCTATTTAGCAAGACATTTCTAAGCCAAGACGATTCTATGGAGTATTGTGGTGTTTGTGAGACAATAGTACATGAGGGACATCATGTTTATTCCTGCAAAGTATGCGATTTTGTGGGTCACATTGAGTGCATTACAAAAGAGGTAATTATGAATATGTCGTTGCATTTCTGTTTTATCCTTTTTATAATTGATTGATTGTAATGACGACTGAAAAACATTAACAGGAAAGGCCTTTCCCATTGTACTTGAAAGATCTGTATTCTTGTGGTGAAAACGTCCCAAGGCTAGCTCATCAAGAAGAATGTGAAACCGAAGAATCAGAAAAAAAACTCGTGGTAAGACATATTACCATAATCCCTACATTGTTAAGAGCATTTTTTTTTTTTTTTTTTAGGCCCTAATCTTCTTAGTTATATGTTGTAGGTTAATGATATTTCGCATAATCATGTGATGGAAAATAACCACCTATTAATGGGGAACGGTAGACTATGCGGCATATGTCATGAGCAAATAACTGGTAGATTCAAGGAATGCGAGACTTGTGAGTTCTGGGCACATGATTCTTGTTTAGAGATGAGGCAACCATCGAGGTATAGATTCCATTTGAACCATCCTTTGACACTTATGCCAAGTCACCCTGCAGGATTTGTTATGAATTGTGACACTTGCAAAGAGACAATATCTTCTTTCAACCTCTTCTGTCGCATATGCAATTTTATCATATGTACCAAATGCATGGTAAAAGCTAAAAAGTCACTTGGAGAATTACAAAGGGGACAAAAGTTCATCAGGTATGACCAAGAAAAATGTTGTCGTGGGAAGCATAACGTGGTTCAAGTTCTGGTCTCAAGGTCTTATCCGGTTGCTTGCACTATTTGTAACGACAAGCTTTATGGAAACATAGTCTCATGTACGGAGTGTAAAGAGATTTATCACTCTCGGTGTATTGATCAGATTGCGATGCTACGAGTAACGAGTCATCGTGTTCATTCTGATCACAAAATGATAATGGAGCTTGTAGATCCTAAATCCAAATGCTCTGCCTGCAAACTTGATATTGAAAAGTATGGCTTTTCTTGTGAAATTTGCGTTAAAAGTTTCCATCCTAATTGCCTCGACGCTGTGGGTATTAGAAAGATGGAGAATCACAAGCATCATCTCTATAACTTTTGGAGCGATGACGACTCGTCCTTGACTCATCCCTGCACTGTTTGCAGTAGACCACGTGGTTCGTCCTTCTATGGCTGTGATCGTTGTAATTTCAGTGCCCATGCAGAGTGTATTGGATATCCAAGCCATGTGAAGAATCAACGCCATCGCCATACTGTTAGACTAATTCATTGCAGGCGGAGGACGCCGGATTGTTCTCTCTGTGGATCATATTGCCGAGATTGGCAGTACTTCTGCATACACTGCTTCGAGTTCTTTCATCTGGAATGCACACTATCCATGGTAGATAATTTGTTTTTTTTTTTTTTTGTTGCTAAACTTTAAAAATCAAATTAATAAAGTAGGGTTTTACGTACAAAGAAAGAAAATCCACTAATAGTGTTAATGATGTGTCAATGTAGTGGAACCCAAGACTCTTCTATTTTCCTTTTATCAATTTGTTTTTTTTGTATTTTCCCGTACAGGATGACCGTGAAGCAGCAACAGAAGAGGAACAGATTCAAGACATCTATCTTATGCACTTAGAGCGTCATCTTTTAGATTTGTTACAAGAATGTAAGTCTTAGTTTAGCTCTGCATGATCCTCTTGATTTTAACTAAGTAGTGCATGAATGAAAAGTTATGCCTCAATGTTATCAAATTTCTTTACAACCGCAGATATACAGTTGGACGGCAGCATGTACACTGATGATCAATTTATGGAGAGGACTGAATGGAAAAGAAAATAATTCTTCGTAATTAGTAAGATTAATTTTGCCATCCCTCTCCGAAACTACATACTGCAACTTATGTTCTCTGATTTTACGCCTCAAAATCCTTTCATTTTTTACGATCCATTTGTTCAGTAATGTTTACAATATGTTTAATTGTTTGATTTATTTCTGCTTTCACTCGAGTTTGATACTAAATGCATAATGTGCACAGTATACCACCTCGGAAAAGCTGAAGCCGAAGAGGAAAAAGCTATCATCTCTTCGACTTCTCTGCCTCCCTCTCTGAATCGGAACTGCACTGGAACTTCCTCTTGTTATACTATTATATCTCCAAACTCTCTGGTTTTTTCCCTTCTCGAGTTCTTTATCCATTTGTTATATTGTGTTTGTAATACGTTTACTCGTTGGTTCTTGGATCCTTGTGTTCTCATATTTTGCCTCTCAAAATCTTATTGTTATTCTCTTGTCGAGTTTACTTACAATGCATTTGTTGAATTGTGTTTACAGTATGTTTACTGTTTACTCGTTGGTTATTGAATATTTGTTTTCTATTTCTTTTTATTATTCCTGCAAGTCTCTGGCTTCTCTACTTAGATATTTTTCCTTCTCCGAAGTAACTTCAACAACTACTTTGACTTGTTCCACCTTTGTCTTTTTCTTTCTCACGCTGTATCATAATCAGTAGCCTGTTACTCTCTCTCCTCTCTGCTTCAGGTTCCATTCCAGCTCTCGATTATAGATTTTTTGGGTTGTTTTAGTGCTTAAAATAGTCTGTTCAACATCGTTCTACATGAGGTAATTAATGTCACATCAATAAAATGTAAGCTACACAAAAAAAAGAAAAGAAAAAAAACAGATGACATCAAAAAAATGTTACAAATGAATTGAATCACAGATACAAAAAGTGATAAAACAACAGTTGTAAATCACCAAACCATTACATTACAACACAAACTATATACAGTAAGATTATATAATAAACAAAAGGATAATATAAAATTTGGCAAAAAAATAAACAAGTTTTGACTCACCTTTCCAAAACAGAAACAAAAAAAAGGATTGGCGTGGTGTAATCATTTGTTAGACCACTGGAATTCGATCTCAAGATTTCTGGGGCCACTTTTGCTTTCTGGTAACAAACTGTATTCACCTGCCACTGCTCCCAGCATCACCACCCTATCGATTTGGATCGTCACTTTCCCAAAGGAACTCTGCAGAAACAGAGGCAAAAAGCCATGGTTTCAGTAATTTGAAACTGTTAAAAACATGAGTTGATTTTGGTGGTTCCAGGGTCTGGTTTATTTACCTTTCCCATTTTGCTCTTGTTTTTGCATGAGATGTGGAGTTTTTGGCCTTTGGGAGGGCTCTCAAATGACCATGAGAAGCTCTCGTCCCACTCTGGATTAGGACCTGTCGATATCACCTGAATAAAATCGAAACATCCGTTGGTTTCGCTAGAAATTACTTAGTGATCATACGTCCATTGAACCAAGTGAGTGATAAGTCTTTTTCCTTACCTTGGTTTGCCTAGGAGGAGTGTTACCGAGTGTGATCTTGCAGAAAACGCTCGGATTACCAACAGATTGCTTCATGTTGTTACCGCGTTTGATCGTGACCACCAAAGTACCTGGCAAACACTGCAAGAGGAATTCTGCTTTCTCCTGGAACCGTGGTGGACCTGATTGGATTAGGTACTGAAGTAAAGGGATTGCATCAGCAGCAGCAACTGACTGTGCCCTTGAAACTTCAGCCGGACAGGCTGACCAAGCTTGTCGTAGAAGAAACAAAGCATCCAAGGCAGCTTCTTGAGTTGCCTCTGAGCCTGTCTTGAGGGATGTAACTAGATGTGGTATACTTAGTGTTGCAGGCTCGGTGGCTCTTAGACGTGGGAAGTTGTTAAACAAAGAGTTCAAAGCTTTTAGATACTCGTCATTCACGGTTCCAGTGGCCCATAGGTCCTTCTCAATAGCAGCTGCAAATAAGAAGGAAGGAACATTGGAGATATGATATGAACAGTAAGAAAGAGCTAAGAGCAATCATAACGATAAGAAAAGGAGCTGTGATTTTTCTCACCAGTTATTGCTCTGACGGTCTCGCTAGATGCGTACTCTTGCACGGTGTGATTAGAGAAGAGTAGTTTTACGAACATTGCAGCCTGAACAGATGTATCCGGGTCACTGGAACTGATCAGATCCAAGACCACCTGCACACCACCTGCCTCGGCAACCGCTCTTTTGTTGGACCGGCTATACATAACAAGGTTTTGCAGAGCACATATAGCCACTACTTTCATCTCTTCAGTGGGTTGTTCTTCAAGGACATTGACTAAAGCACGGCAAGCAGAAGCTGCATCGGTGCTTCTAGCAAGTGCTTCGTTCTGGAAAAGATCACCGAGGGCCAAAGTTGCCAGTAATCTTGCCTGCTGAGCTTGAGTCTGTGGATCCAAGAGGTACTGGGACAAAGGCAAGATTGCAGTTTTGGTGGCTTTTGAATCTCTAATCTTCACGTTGTTGAGAAGTACCTCGAGTAGTCTCGCTGCTGTGTCCTCACACTGATGAGACCTTAGAAGATCAAGTAGAGCTTCTATGGCACCGCTTTCAGCCATGGATTCCGCACTGGTTCCATCATCACTTTCCAACACTAGAAGAGTGTTAAGTGCACCAACCACAGTGTTTTCAGATGCTGAGCGAAGCAGTCTTACGAGGACAGCAACAGGAACTTCCAGGTAAAATTCGGAGCTAAATTGCAAGATGATAACCAAAATTGATGCTGCAGACTCCCATAACACATTGGAAAGAGATGGATCAGCTTGCAGTATCACCTTGGACAGCTCACTCACACCACCTTCTTTAGCTATTTCATTTGGCCAGGTCAGAGCAATGCTAACGAGAGCTTTCACAGCTCTCTGCTGCAATAGGTGTATGCCAGATCCAAGAACATGGATTAGAGGACCAATCGCAAGTTGTGTTAATGGATCCTTCTGCAGATGCTCCTCAAAGAGCAAATGAGACAGAAGCTCAGCTGCCAATTGCTGTACTGCTGGGGATGTAGATTCCAGCAGCGGAATTAGCGGCTCAATCACTTGGTGCGGTGTAAGTGTATAATCAGCTCGGCATTGTGGATGTTCTAAAATATTTACCAGAACTTGCAGAGCACTGTGCTGTCCATCGGCTCCAAACTCCAACCTCGTCAGTAGATTGAAAAGAGGCTCCACCACTTTCGCAGCAGACTGACCCTTGGCAATAGTAGCGTTATTTGTAAGGATGCGAAGCAGTTCTGAAAAAGCAGCGCATAGAAAATCCGGAGCTTCGTGGAGAATATCAAGTACGCAATCAATAACGCCAGCTTTCACCATTTCAAGTTTACAAGCAGGCCTGTCCTTACCTAGCTTTACTAGAGCTCTTGATATAGCCTCATGAAGCACGTAGTTTTTACCATAGAGAAGGCCAACAAGGGGAACCACAGCGCCATGGGCAGCAACTAGTTCAGCCAGTTGTTCATCATCGACAAGCTTGTCCAGTGCCCGTACAACTGAATGCTGAGCAGGGCTGAATTCACTCACAAGGAGAGAGACAAGAGGCTCAACACAGCGCGCTGCAGCAACTGTAGACCTGATCCTTGTATTTGCAAACAGAACATAGCACAACTCTGCTGCATCCCCCTTCAGTTCCATCGAACAGTTTGAAGAAAGGATCCTGCAGAGAACATCCACAGCATTCATCTCCACATCTGCAACTGCCAATGCCCGAGATGGATTATCACTCAACAGCCTAACAAGTGCAGCAATAGCAGCATGTTGCTCCCTCTCTGAACCAGTATTGAGAATCTCGACCAATGGTTGAACAGCTTGTCTAGAAGACTCTGCATTTCTTATATGGTCAGCAGAAAAGAGACTATCCAATGCCTTGGCGGCACTGTACCTTGCTCCTCTTCCACCAAGACGCAGAACTGCTACAAGTTGGCTGACAGCGCCAAATGCTGACTCGTGTCTTCGAATTTCAGCACTGCTAAACAAGATGCCTAAAAGACCCGTTGCAGCTTCCTCTTGCTCATCCTGAGGTCCAAGAGAAAGATATTTTGAGAGACCCTCAAGAGCACCTGACTCTACCATGACAATCATATTTTGTGGACAGTCTCCGGCAAGCTGAGTTAGAAGATTAAGTGAAAGTAGAGGAGCACCGGGGCGGTCTGGAATTGGTTTAAGAAGGTCAACTAGTAAGGGAATAGCCTTTCGTGACGTAGCCCCAACTCTAATATCTTCAACTCGGAAAAGCCTCTCAAGGGCAACTTGGTCTGGGTAACGCACTAACAAGAACTCTTGTGACAGTTGCAGAAGTTCTTTTATGTCATCATCAGAACAACCAAGCAACGATATGAACCCAGCCGCAGCACCAGAGTTTGCAACAGATAGAAGAGTTCCCCGACTACCGTTACAGACAAGACTGGCTAGCGCTTGTGCTGCAAAATATCTGTCAGCGTATTCCTCTGACTTGACAAGATTTGAGAGCACTGGAACAGCTTTCATTGTTGCATTTGCGCGAGTGATTTCTCTGTCCTGGAAAAGTATGGCTAGCAGTAAAGCACAAACCCAAATGTTGGTGTCTTCTCCATGATCAGCCTGAAATGTAACAAATTCACAGATTCTTAATATGGATTTTTTATGCTTCTAATGAGCTGTGAACTCAAAAGATAGTAATCTAGAAGAGTTGAATACCTGCAGAAAACGGTTGCCGATTCTGTCAGTGATCAAATCAATGCCTTCTGACTCCAGTATTACTGCTCTGGTCTTTTCATCATAACAAGAAAGAACCGAGAGCAACCATATGGCTAAATTGTCACCAGAAATAACTGTTGCCCCCGAGTTACCCTCCCTACTTTCTGTTGCCTCTTCCTCTTCATCTTCCTCCTTTTCTTTGGGATGAATGCATATGCAGATAGTATCTTTCTCATCCTTTTCCTGATCTTGCACAGAAATCTGTGATTGATCTAAAATCCGCACAAGTGCTTGAACGAATTTGGCACACAGCTGTGTCTCATTCAGATTTTCTATCATTTTCTGCTCATTAACTTTGGCAGCACAGATAATAATAGCAGCTCCGCCAATTTTTATTTTTGGATCCCTGGTATTTATCACCCTTTTAGCTATAGATGACACGCAATCTCTAGCATCGTTGACCATGTTTCCCAAAACTATAGGCTGATCTCGGCAAAGTCTTGACAATACTTCAATAGCTTTATCCTGTAGGGAGGGATTAGCAACACTCACTATAGATGAGACTATTGGAGCCATGCTGTTAGGAGATTCAGCCAAAACAACCCAAGCTGCTTTAACATTTCCATTAGCTCCTGACCTTGAAAATATAGCAAGCGCGTCTAGGGCCTCTGAAATTGCATCAGATCTTCCGTCAGCAGACTCTAGAAGAGACACTAAGGCAAGCACTGTTCCAGCACGGTTCACAGAATCTGTCAATGCGGAATCAATTCGGCGGCGGCTAAGCAGGCGAGCAATTGCTGCAGCTGCAAGGGTCTTCCCAGACACAGTACCTTCACGTAAGATTCTAGTGGCTGACAAAATAATTTCTTCAACAATGACCTTCTCTGCTACTTCACTGTCCAATATAAGATTAGCCAATGCGCACATTCCTTGCTCAGCAACTTCTAGAACGGAAGAGTTTGCAAGAGAAACAAGAGTAGGCAATGCTTCTCTGGCAGCAATGGCCACATCACGATTCTCCTTTACTGAAAGTAAAATTGCAGCCATGCAGCGGGAAGACTCAACAAGAATCTTCTCAGAATCCACATGTAAGAGCTTTATTGCCGACAGGAGAGTTTTGAGGGCTAGAGGGCTCTCACGCAAATCCTTTCTGCTCTGGAAGATAGCTGCAAGAGCTGAGGCTGAATTTGCTTGAGTTTCTTCTTTTGCTGAGCTCATCAACTTGATCATGGTCTCAATAGCATCATTTGAAGCACTGCCTTCACGTAACATGTCATTGAATGGGACCACAGAGAGCATGCTTTTTAATGCATCCAAAACATACATTTTAGACTCAGGTAAATCGCTGGTCAGCAAAGCAGTAAGCTGACTGATTGTTGCAGTATCTGATTTATGAATCAAATGGTTCAATGTCTTGGCAGCAATTTCCTTACCATTGGCACTACCATTCTTTAGTAGCCATAGCAGAGCAGGGACAGCATCAGCACTTTCAACACAAGCACGTATATCTTCACTGTGATTGCACAAGTTCCTGAGAATGGTTGCAGAGTCTTCCCTGGCTTTGGCAGACCCTGTCTCTAAAATTTGAACAAGTGGAGGTATACCTCCAGCAGCAGTGATGGCCCACTTGCTTTCATCGTTTTCGTTAGACAAAAGACAAAGAAGTGCAACCGCGCATTCTTGCTGCTGTTCAGATGAAAGACCCAGGAGAGAGATCAACAACTGGATCCCTTCACGGCCCTGTAGTGCTTGCCACAGGCTACCTTCATGGTTACACAGCATCAGAAGAGCCTTAACAAGCTCATCTTGAACCTCATTAGCCGCCATTGTAATTAGACCAACAAGCAAACGTTTTGCATCCGAGTTGGAAAGTTTAACAGAGAGGATGGAATTCCCATACAAACTTGCAAGTGCTTCAATGGTACGTTCTTGGACAAGGAACGGTAGACGAGGCTTGAACTGTTTCAACAGAGTCTGCTCAATGACCAACGGATCTGATGCCCTGGTAATTTCTGCTTTGCCATCATATATCATCAATGCTGAAGCCAAAGCCCCAAGAGTGTCTGCAGTCTGAGCAGGTGAAGAGCAAGATTCAAGACTCTGACCAAGGCTCGATATTACATATGACAAACCACCGGAAATATTGGCAAGGGCACACATTGCATTTTCTTGTAATGCTTGCGCATATTCACCTTGCATGAATTCTTTTGACGGAGCTATTGTTGCATTGATTAAAACAGGGATACCATTAGAATTAGCGATTTCTCGCTTTGCTTCCTTAGATTGAGCAGAAAGCGACTTGAGAGCAGCTGCAGCCTCAGCCCTCACTGAGGCTTCATTTCCTGATCCTAACAACTTGAGAAGCTGTTTTGTAATGTCTGCAGTCAATACACTGGAGCAAACAGAGGCATCCTCCATCATCATACAAGCAAGAAGGAAGCAGACATTAGATACTGTACTTGACACCCCGCTTGTAAGCAACTTCACAAGTACATCCACTCCCCCAGCTCGAATTGTCTCAGACCAAAATCCTTCTGTGGTGCTAGAAAGGTTCTTAAGCGCACCAGTTAACAAACCATCAACCTCTCCTTTCTTATTTCCACTGCGCAATTGGTCCCACAGAACCGGTACAACTCCCTCAGTGGAAAATATCTTTGATCCAACATGATCTTTCACCCCACCTTCAGAAACAGCATAGATCGTCTTTGCTGCAGCGATCTGCCCTTCAACTGAACTTGACTTGAGAAGACCAAGCAATGGGGGAATGCATCCTCCAAGTAACACCTTGACCCTAAGTTCATTCTCCTTGCAGAGTGAACCCAAGACGGTAGCAGCTTGTATCTTCACTCCAAGTGATCCTGATCGGAGAAGAGAGACAAGCACTGGCACAGCTTGGGAGTGTGATCCAACAGCGCTGAATGCATTTTCACGCATCTCTATAAGGTCCAGTAACTGTTTCAGGCAGTATTCTCTTTCTTGTGCAGATGATGAACCTTGGCGTAACTGCTCAATGCATTGGGCAACACTTGCTAAGGTCCCATCTGGATCTTCCATGCTGGTTGTACGATCCCTGCAGGTGATTTGGAAAATGTTAGATACTAAGTTGCTAATAGGTGTGCCTTTCTGCTTAAAAGATTTCATTTTGAAAGGATATGATAGGAAACTAATCCAGAGAATATTGATTTTCGAAAGCACTTGCTAAACCAATGAATGTGGTGCAGCAGATACTGATAAGCTCACATACAGTACAAAATAAACATTTGCATTACCTCAAACTCATCTTTGTGCTTGAATGTGGAGTTGGGGGCTCTGAATCTGGAATCTTCATATCCCCATTTCTCTCCTGCAATCATGACCAAGCAACAGAAAGTAAGTTCAAAAAGCATAATTACAAGACGTTATCAGATCGGCACTGTGATCTTTAACTCTCTTTTTAAACAAAAAAAAGGAAGCTTTACGATAAACTGATGAATGTGTTTATCAAAACAATGAACAAATTACCGTATCGTTTGGGGCAAGGCCATTTCCATTAGTAGAAGCAAATCTCCATCCGAGTGCACTTGTCATCTTTTTGTATTTTCAAACTTCAAGATTTATCCAATCACAGTAGATCCAGAGACCTTGCCCCTATCCAGATCTACCCAGAGAAGATCGTCAGAACATCAACTCCCCTGGAAAGAAGAAAACATCATGAAAGCAGAGATCAGAGGAGAACAAAGCATCACTGAAATTTAACTATACACAGAAAAGTAGGAAAAGCTAAAATGCAATTATCAGCAATGACTACAGTATCAATAGACTACTCTATCTAACTGAGATTAAGCAACTGAAAAAATCTAAAACCCCTTACTTTCCAGATTCGAACTAAGCTAAATCAGGAAACTTTACTAATAGAAATTCGAATGTAGGATTCAGATCGGGGTGGAATCTAATTCGATGATCGGAGATCAATCTCGGATCTCTCTCACTGAAATCAAACACAATGAGATCCGATACCAAAGCATGCGGATAAACAGAGATAGATAGATCCATAGACGGAGGAATTGAGCTGACCTTAGATGGGAAATGTGAGAGGAGAGAGGAGGAAGAAGCACAATCAGCTCTGCATTTGTCTGTTTCTTAGAAGAGAAGCGAAGAAGACGAGAGATTTCTGCAATTTGACTCAAAAAAAAGTATAAAGCGGAGGAGAGAGAGAGAGAGAAGAAGGAGAAGAGAGAGCTGTGTGTGGGCTGGTGAGAGTGTGTTGTCAGATTGGAGCCGGCTTTGTCCACCGACACAGAGACTGGATCAACTTTACGGCTCGGCTTAAGCTATCGAGCCGATTCATCTTAAGCGATTCGTTTACAGCGAGTGAAACTGATTAAAATAATATTATTTTTTATCAGATAATAAATGAGTTAATTGACTTCATTTAGAAACTTTTGGTTCACGCAAACAATATTTTCAAATATAGAAACTTTTTAAATTAAGTTCAGTAAAAAAATTTACATTTCATAGAAAGAAAAAAAAACACAACTCAGTGTCAGAATTGCTCTCTTCTGAAGTAAGTACATTTCCACTTGATCATTAAAAATTAAGAGCATTTGCCGTTAAATTAGATTATGTTTGAAAGTACAAGATCAGCTACATCCACAACCACAACCTTAGAAATATGATTTTCGGTTAATTAGAAAAATAAAAGAGTAAGATTTGCAGTAGTTGTTACACATGTTGATTTGTTACCAAACTCGATTAATTATTCCAGTAAGATGGTGATAGTGAAGGTATCCACCACCAAGTCTAATTAGAAAATTCTTAGAAAACTATGGCTTCCTTCACATTCTTGTCCAAAAAAAAATGACAGCATGTTTTTTTGTCCGAAGTGAGAGAAGTCGATCGGGGAGAACAAAACGAGAAGATGGTAACGTGAGAGAGCAGAAGCACATGGCCTCATGGCTAATGAGAATCATTTGAAGATTCAAATGTTTTAAGTAATTTTCTTTTTCCTAGACGCATGTTTTGTTTCTATCGACAACTATGCCCATGAAAGCATATGATATGCACAATTATGATTAGCATATGTGTGACATGTGCTCCTTCGTCTTCTGCCATTATTCTCCGTGCCACATTTTTTCATACACGTCGTGAAGATTATGATCCCAAGAGCATAAACAGAGACTTGCCAGAATCATATCTTCTTTGGTTATTCTAATGAACAATTCATTACCTCACTTTCTTGAAGTCTATAAGTTACATCGGAAGCATAAATCTTGTGAGTCTTGCTAACCAAGGTTCCACATAACTGACATAAGCCAAAACCGAGTCTTATTTTGCTCCTATCCTAAACCGAACCAATGCTCAATTAGCTGAAACATTCAACTAACTAAACTAATTTTAGGACACTACATCATTCTAGTTTTTTTTTATAATCAATTCAGCAACCTTCAAAATTTAATTGCTGTGGATGGAAGAATTAGGAAACTCTAAGAATTAGTTAACTCTTTAGAGCTCATATATAGAATAATGAAAAATGCCCATCGACCAAAATTTTGTTTTCTCTTGAAAATTATTGTCAAATATATCTTGCTTAATCCTTGTCCAATTGTCAAGTTACAAATTGTTAATCCTTTTTCTTCGTGTGTCGTTTTTTTAAGAAGCTCACAATTTGGTAAAATATTTTCCAAACCCAAAACCGAATATTTCAGAAATAGATTGTCAATAGAGAAATATTTTACATATTGATTGAAATCTATGGAAGATACAATGATTTTAATACAATTCCCAACAATAACATCAAACAAAGTAACACAAATTGCGCAACTGAAAACCTAGACGCAAAGGACGACCACTTATATCACATCACACACAAAGACACAAAGTCTAACATGTAAAACAGAAGACAAATCTCACACCTCACTCTTGCCTTCCAACTTGTTCATAAGTTGACGACGGAGAAGACTTGACCGGAAATATCCTGTTACCACTCTTTCCTGTGGAGGCAGAAGAAACTCCGTCTGCGCTGCCATCTCTCTCCTTTTCCAATCTCTTCTTCATCATCTTCTCCTTTTGCTTCTTCTGCATGACTTGTAGTTGTGCGTAGTTTGCTCCAATAGAAGACATTTTTGGTGTTTGAATTTCAGTTATGTTATTTAATTTGATTGTTATTATGACCAAAGAGGAAGTGTGGTGAAAAGAATTAGTGAAGGATGAGTTTGATAATGATGAAGAGATGTGTCGTAATTTATAGAGAAACGCGACTCTTGCTTTGTGACCGTTTTGTAATAATTTCCATTTCCCATCATTATGCTTCTCCATGCTCATTCTCTTTTTCCTTTACTTTATTTTCCATTCTTTAATTGATTAATTCTTTGACTTGGACTCATGCTTCTAAACAATACTTTTGTTGTTATATTTAGATATATTTTTAAATTGAAGAAGTTGACGAAAAAAAGAAAGAATGAATTTGCATGTTAAGAAGAAAAAGGCTTCTTAATTAGTATTTTTTAGACGTTAGTACCCAGTTTTTGTTTTTAAGCGTTTAAAGTTTAAACCTTAGTTACAAAAGCAAAACAGCGACATTAATCAAAACTAGTAAGCTACAAGTTGGTTTACTTTTTTGTTTTCTTTTGAAATCCATGTATAATTAGTCGTTTTTGATAATGTATTTATTCGTGAGTGAGGCAAACAATGCATCGAGTTTAAAAGTGGCATTTGTTGATTAGCGTAACTAATCAGATAAATTTAATTATAAACAAGTGGGTAACAAAAAAGATCACATTAATCTAAGATCGAAATAGAAGGGAGGCGTTATCTAAGGCCCTGTTCGTTTGAACAGTTGGCTGATCAAGCTAGATGATCCAGCCAGATGGTTCAGTCAGATGATCCAGCCAGATGTTGTTCACTTTTTTTTACTCTCAGCTAGATAGATCAGCCGAATGGATCAGCCAGATGAATCTTTTGTTCTTTTTCTCACTTAGATGGATCAGCCAAATACTTTTAATGGATAATGACGAAAATACCCATACTTTTTTTATCCAATCAAAGTTTTATTAACTAAATTAATTTTCTAACCATATCAACTTAAATAATATCAAAACCATAAAACGTAATTTCACAATTTTGCCGAAAATGTAAATTTGCGGTTTTGACAGAAAAACAAAATTTCGCAGTTTTGGCCAAAATTACAACTTCACGCAATTATAGCAACAAAAAACACGATTTTGTGATATCTGCAATAAAAACAGGATTTCTCATCGGAAAATGCGATTTTGCGGTTTTGGCAGAAAAAATATGAATTTGCGGTTTAAGTGGAAAACTGCGATTTTGCGGTTTTGAACGCAAAACGTAATTTCACTGTTTCGGTGGAAGTTTGTAACTTTGCATTTCAAGCAGAAACCCACGATTTTGTGATTTCAATAGAAAAACATGATTTTTCAGTTTAAACGGGAAAACTCGATTTCGCGGTTTCGGCAAAAATATATGATCTTACGGTTTAAGCGGAAAACTGCAATCTTACAGTTTTGGCAGGAAAACGTATTTTGGTGAAAATTTCGCGGTTTTGCGGTTTCGCCAGACAAACGCAATTTCTAGGTTTTGGCGGAAAATATGATTTTTTTGCGGTTTTTGCGAAAACGTAATTTTATGGTTTTGGCGGGAAAAAGTTATTTTACTTTTCGGCGGAAAATGATATTTCACGGTTTTGGCGGAAAAAACGATATTTCACGGTTTTGGCGGGAAAAATGATTTTTGCTATTTCGGCGGAAAAACATTATTTTGCGAATTCGAAGGAAAACATTATTTCGCGGTATTGGCAGGAAAACATTATTTTGCGATTTCGGCGGAAAAACTTTATTTCACGGTTTTGGCGGGAAAACGTGATTTTTGCGATTTCGGCGGGAAAATGTGATTTTATGATTTCGGCGGAAAAACATTGTTTTCCGGTTTTGGCGGGAAAATACAATTTTGTGATTTCGGCGGAAAAATGTTATTTGGCGGTTTTGGTGGTAAATTGCAATTTTGTGATTTCGGCTGAAAAAAACGTTTTTTGAGGTTGTGGCAGAAAAACGTTATTTTTGTTTTTGTGGAAAAAATGTAATTTTGCGGTTTATCTTGAAAATATAATTTTGTGGATAATTTTGATTTTCAGTTTTGATAAAAAAAAATTGGAGATTGGATAATTTTTTTTTGTTTTAGAAATAGTAAATAAATCTATAATTTTATTCTTGTGTAAATATATTTTGAAGGATATAATTGTTATTTGTATTTTTGGAATGGAGATGGCTCAGCCAAATGCTTCATTTCGGATCAGCCAGATGGATCAGCTGGACTATTAAAAATTTAGCCTAAATTTTTAGATTTGAGATGATCCATCTCATTTTTTGTATTAAACGAACATCATCCAACTGCCTCATCCAGATGGATCAGCTGGATGAGCAAACGAACAGGGCCTAAGTATGGTGGCCTTCGCTTTAAGGTCGGCTCTTAAGGCTTTATGCAACTATATGATAATACTAATTATACTATTAATAAATAAATCTTGCATGGTTTTAGCTCGTATACTAATTAAAATTTTCATCATTATTAGTTTTAAAAATCACCGACCATCGGATGTTGGAGTCCGACTAACCCAAACTATATATAGGATTACGATTTGGAATCATATGTTTATGCGTATCGAAATAATCTCTAATCTACTAGTGCTTTTCTCGTTTGGAATCACGTTACGAGCTAGTCTTTTTAATGTATACTAATTTACGAGTTTTAAAACTACAAATGTTGTATTACAGAGATTAGTTTAAATTTGGGGAATTTTCACAACTACAATTTGGATGTTCGTTTTAAAAATTACACTAATAAAGTGTCCATTTTCAACACTTATAATCAAGTATGTGGTTCAACCACTAGATATGTACTTGCTTTTGTTATATTACTTGACTATAGAAAATGAAAACACAAATGACAGAAATAAAAGGTGTAAGCTATATATATACAACATTTCATAAACGTAATATAAAAAAAAAAAAAAAATAGAGAAGGAGAATAGGAGTTGGATAAGGACTTACTGGCCACTAATCTCCCACCATATCATAAAATACTATATATTTTGACTTTTTAATTACATTACTAGTATATCTAAAATGACTATTTGTGTTTATATGTACACGGACATATCAACTAATGTTAGAAAATTCCACAAAACGGTTATCACGGAATTATGTCAAAACAGATAACGTTATACGTGTCTTTCTGTCAAAACAAAATGAAATTTCTATAACTTATGCATGCATGTTTATGTTTTAACCTTTCTAGATTAGCTTATACATAAATATGTGAATTTAAACACACACATATATTTCAACCAAAAAAACATACATGACTATATGATATAGGGTGACGAACTGACCTTGATAGTGTCTATTTAAGTCTATGCTGGTGCTAAATGGTGCTGTTATACATAGTCTTCAACGAAATGTTATGATGGCTGAACTTTAATTTAAATTGGTGCTTGTGTGGTTTCAAATTTATGTTGGCAAAGTCCAAAAAAATAAAATAATAATAACAATTTATGTTGTTGGTTACTTGGTTACTGTACATAAATGTATATTTATGTTGAATTGTAAAGAATTAAAGGCGAGCACTCTGAATTTATTAACTTGGTGCCTTTCATTAAGTTTTGTTAATGCTTATCCTTCAATAACATAATTAATTCATACATGCTTTATGAAACAACACGATGCAAATAATATTCCTTATTAAGAAATAAGAAATGCATCTAATAAAAGATGAATATCAACAAATTATATTTTATACAACATGTTATATTTTTTACGCCTAAGTTGTAGATCTTTAAATCTAACATAAGCTTTACACTTAACACTAGTCGTTGTTGCTAACGTAATAAGATACTTAGGGTTAATTTGAGTTTCTATAAAATATCGGTACCTTAACAAAAATTTGAGTTTGAGATCTATACAAAGATACGAAGGTTAATCTGTACTCCATAGATCATATTGAACACAGTTGTGATGAATGAAGGGGAGACATATTTTCCGTTACATATTTGAGATCTATACAAAGATACGAAGGTTAATCTGTACTCCATAGATCATATTGAACACAGTTGTGATGAATGAAGGGGAGACATATTTTCCGTTAAGTAAACTAGATTAAGATCGTGTCTGAATATATATATGCGTTCGAGTTACGGCGGTTATATGTCTGAATGTATATGATTGTTTGATGAGTATTTAACTAATCTACAATTAGCTTTTAAAAGTTTGTTCCTGGAAGAGTAGCTCTTAGCCTCTTACTAACAAAGAGTTTGGATCCAATAAACAGAGAGCAGGGGACAATTTGTCCCTAGTTGACCCTAAAGGCCACACAAAACAAAACATCTAGACACTTCTACTAGTTAACCTTTAACGATGTTTTGAGAAAATCATTAGAATAATCATTAAATATTTTAGAAATCTGTCAACCAAGCAATTCAACAAAGATTGATTACTATATTTGTCACATTTCTTTTTTTTTTTTTTTTTTACAACAGCCTAAATTCCTACAACGGTTCGGGGAGCGAAACCGGTGGAACTGAGTTGATATAATACACATCGTAAGGCTGATCTCGAGCACTCTGTGCTAGCTTGTCTGCCTTTGTGTTCTTCGTTCTTGGGATATGGATTAGAGAGAACGTCTGAAATTGCCTTCTGAGCTTCTCAACCTCGTCAAGTAGGTCTGCAAACGCCGGCCACTCTTTCGGTCTGGCCACCATCTTAATCAGATCTGCACAATTCGTTTGAAAATTCATCCGCCGTTTATTATGGACTAGCATACACTGCATATCCCATGTTAGAGCTTCCAGCTCTGTCTGTAAAGGTGATAACCCCCGTCTATGATTACAAGCACCAAACAAAACTGACCCCAAATCTGGGTCAAAATTACACCAGCCTAGTCCCGCCCGACATTCAGTTTCCTTCCACGCCCCATCTACTTGACATCATTCCCCCACTAAAACGGATTCCGAGGGGGAGACCGTGCTCCATGGTTTCCTCACTTCAGCCGTCTGGGCAGCTGCCCATGCACGAGCTTCAGTTATTGCCGATTCGATGATATCCCTAGAATCCTGATCATCATTCGAGAATACCTTATTGTTCCGCGCTTTTCAAACAAACCATAATAACCATGGATAAATCAACATATTCTCATTATTCCTAGAAAAAAAAATTCATCACCAATAATCAAGTTCTGACAGCAATATATCTAGCTCAGAAATAACACTTTTGAATATTAACGTATACTAGAATTTTATGCGGTTGTTGTATATCAAGTTAAAAAAGACTCTAATTCGTAGAAGGTTTGTAATGAAGTGGAGAATACATTGATTCAAGACACACTCATATGCTATTTTTGAAACATTAGAAGGAGAGAACAATAACACATGAGTTGATTGTAAGAAGTGGAGAATACACAGACTTTGATTCAAGACACACCCATATGCTATTTTTGAAACTTTTGTATTTTCGGAAAAAAAAAAGAGAAGGATTGCAGATGGATATTAAATAAAGGGAAGAACCAAACTAACGAGAAACAGAATGATTTACATTAGGTGTGAAAACAAATTAAACTCTGGAAATTACTAACAATGCAAAGACTGGATTCCATTGCTAGGTTAGTTTTCACAATTATGTAAATCATTCAAAGTTTCTTTAGTTAATATGGATAATTAAAGATTGAATGGGTGATTGGAGATAAATATTAAACTTGCAAAATCATTTGAAGAAGGTTTTTTTTTTGTTGATAACCAAATTAACAAAAAAAACTGAATGATTTACATTAGATATGAAACCAAATTAAACTCTGGAAATCACTAACAATACGAAGACTGGATTCCATTGCTAGGTTAGTTTTCACAATTAAGTAAATCATTCGAGTTTCCTTTGTTAATTTAGTAAACTAAAAAATTGATAGGTTAAGGTTGTGAATGCATATTTAATTTCAAGCCACTATCCCTACCTAAGACAGACACTAATATTCAGACTAGTTCTTGTAAGATTTTGTGGAGGAGAAAAGAAATAAAAGAACCTTGACAAAAGAGACGAGACGTGACATGGCTTCTTTCACCCCATCCAGCTTCTTTAAGATACTGCAAAATAATATAAACAAAGAGTCATTAAAACTAAGATAAGATTCAGAGTGATTTGGCTTCGAGTAGAAAGAGTCTTCCATCAAACTTTAACTATTGGTCTTATACAAACCCTACACTTGAAAGAAAAAAAAAAAAAAACCCTACACTTGGCAAAACAGAGTGTTTTCCCAAGAACTTAATAGAGAACAAAACCTGGGAAATTTTGAATCTAGCGGTTTATAAATACTAATGAATTGATAACTAAACAGAGATGTGAATATTAGATCAAAGCACAACACAGAATCAGATTCTGCTGTAAGAGACAAATCGGCACTTACCTTCGTTTCCGGTAAGTGATCATATTCCGGTGAAAGAGCAATGTCCGTTGACGATAGTGATCGCCGTTTCGTGATATCCGGAATCCAGCAAAACGGAGGAGATAGAATTGAGAAAGATGTAATGAGGTATTCCGATGGAAATGACGACGACGCTTTCAAGAGCATTTTACCAAACTAAGCAATACTGGAAAGAGAAGAAAGCAGAAGAGAAACCAGAGACGTAATCCTTTTCATTTGAAGAAATGGTGAAAGAGAGAGAGAGAGAGGGGTTCGGTTTTCGAATTTTCATTTGTAGCCGTTAAGCATTTTATTATATCAATTAACGGCTATAAACAACTTCTCGTAAAAAGATAATGAAAAAGTAAAGATAAATAGATACCTACTGATGTAAGACATTGGGCTATTGCATAGGATTGGACTATTTTCGTATAGATAGTATTTTTTTATATTTTTAAAAAGATAGAAACAAACATTTCAACACAAAAGCTCAATATTCGTCAATGAGAGAGGTCTCTGACTCCAAAGTTGAAGTCTTTCTTTACAAAAAAATGAAGCATCTATAAGATTTTACATTTCATCATAATCTTCACCACTTGGTCAGACATGAATTCCCCTGTGAGCAGTTGAAAAATCTTCCATAGTTTCAAGCCAATACTGTTTTTCATAGAAGGCCAAGCGTCTTCAGCTGCTGCACATGCTCAGACGGTAAAGCCGGTGGCGACCATTCTGATCCAGTCATTTCCTCATCCACATCCTCCACCACATACTCCTACAAAAACAATCGACTGTTTCAAAACCAAAACTTTACAGAAAACCGTACAAGGTAGATAAAAAGATCTCACCTTTGTTAGCATTCGTTTAGCGAGAATGTGGTAATGGCGCTGCCAAATGCGTTGACCAACCATGGTTGCAACCAATACACTGTAGAATATACCGATAACCGTAAACAAACCGAGAACTACTAACGCCATTATGAAGAGCAGTGGCAATCCAGCTTCTCCTGCACCTCCAAGGCAACCACCGCACTCACTGACTGCACTCGCACATCCTTCAGTACACGCGGTGCAATCTGCCCACATACAAATAGTTCCCGGGAGATGGCAGTCTGTGCATACCCTGCATTTCGATACAGAGGTTCAATAAGTGAGTACAAAGTCGACTCGAGCCAAAAGATTAACTATAAACTGATGAAGAAACAAAGAAACAGAGACACAATTCACGGTTATACCCAGGCTGACAGCAACAGAGACACAATTCACGGCAAGGCTGAGCTAAATCATTGCGAACTCTGCGATCGTAGCAAGTTATGAAGCATCCAGAGAGACCCAGAAGAGCAAAGAATAATAAAGCTCCTGAAAGAAAGCAGACTTCCTCATGTAAATGAAATGATACAAATATGAGGAGAATTATTAAGATGTTATAGTTTGGGATTCATATCATACCACACATGTAATAAAACGTGACCTCACTGTCAAAGCCCCAGATATGACGAAGCCATGCTTGCTGGTAACTATCTATGAAATAGACCATGTAGGCCAATCCAGCAATTACCTGTGAGAAGAATATGAAGATCATTTAGAAAACATGAATTAGATAAATTACCAAATGTAAGAGAAGTAAGCACAGATGAGGATTGAATGATTACAAGCTGAACAGCAAGAAATATAGATAAAATGTCTCGAGTCACAAAGAAGCGAAACTTCAGTGTACGCCATTTCCTATCTCCAGCTCCATGAACTCTCAGATAATATGGAGCCTTGCAAGTTGTGCAGTGTGCAAACGCAAAACCTTCCTGCAATCAAATGAGGCTATTGAATGTTAACATCTACTATTCCTTAGTTTATCAAAGTCAGAAACTTTTACATCCAAAACCACACTTGTTTAGCCTTCTAATGGTTTTTCTTGTTCAATAGCACCAAGTTGAGCTTTAAAACGTGTGTACCTTTATTGCTCTCCAGTGATCCAAGCAATCACGATGAACATACTTTGATGTTCCTTTGCATTTGCATGGTGCTATGAAATCCCTACCTGACATGCAAACAAAATTCGATACCATTGATCAATAAATGAGCTTGAAATAACAAGTAACTTAGAACAACACATCTCTCTATTTCACGGTTTACAATCACGAGTTATCACTAAAGACTAATCAAAATCACATATTTATGATCTACCAATGAGTTTGTTAAGGTCTAGTAGGTTCAGTAAACCTCAAGCATTCAAAAGTTCAAGCGAATTTCATCATCCGAATTCTTGACCTGAATGGCTGAATCTTGACCAACCAACGATCACTAACCAAAAAGCAACACAAACCATTTGGGGGAGATGCGAATCTAAGGGGTTAATTCAAGAGATTTACCATCAGTTTCAAGGCAGATTCGGCACTGAACTTGTTCACCATGACCCGCTTCGAGATCGATCTCGGAAGGTTCCACCATCGGCGACGGCGGTACCAACGGCGACAATTCCAGTTCGTCCGCCATCAAATCGCAAAATCTGGGTAAAATCCACGAATACCCAGAAAGAGAGAAAGAGAGAGAGATAAAGTTCGTCGAGCTCTGATCCGATTTCGTTAATTCTCTTTTTCTTAGTTAGGTGTTTGTTGCCGTTAAACAAGTAATTGTGTGAAGTGACCCGGCACCGGTTATTCGCCGGCAGAAAGCGGTATAATGACTTTTCTGCCCTTCTAGATCATGGAAATTCACGGACAAATGGACCCCTTTAATAACTCTTCTTAAATTAAAGTTAAAGATTATGGTAATTACGTACGACTCAGATTATTCTTCATCATACTGTATCTAACTAAAAAAAAGCCATTTCAAATTCGCAAAAAAAGAATAAAAGAAATGTCTGAGCCCGGGTTCGAACCGGGGACCTCTAGTGTGTGAGACTAGCGTGATAACCGACTACACCACCCAGACGCTTTTGTTAGATATTTGATTTTAATTTTGATATATATATATATATATACTGAAATCGTTAGTGCTTTCTCGGCAACCTATTTAGAGAGGTTTCTCGGCTCTGGGTTTCTGTAGAGACTGCCGTCAACAATGGCGAAAGATAGAGACGATCTGAAGAAGGAGAAGAAAGAGAAAAAGGAGAAGAAAGAGAGGAAGGAGAAGAAGCGACGTGAGGCTGAAGAACTCGCGGTGAGGGAGAAGAAAATCTCTAAGAAGCATAAATCCGAGTCCAGAAAGGCCGAGAAATCCGAGAAAACGAAGAAGAAATCGAAGAAACCCGAAGTCGAAAGCGAAGAAGAGAAACCCCATAAGAAATCCAACGAGAAGAAGAAGAAGAAACACAAGGTGTCATCAGATGAATCCGAAGAAGAAGAGCCCAAGAGCGAAATCGTCCGTTCCGATGATTCGAATCCCGTTACAGTCCCGATTGTCACCACCACCACAACCACCAACGAGTCAGATTCAGATTTCGAATTCGACAAGGAAGACATCAAGCATCTCCTCGAATCTTACTCCAAGGAAGAGCTCATAAACCTCATATACAAAACCGCCGAAAAGGGATCTAAATTGATCTCCGCCGTGCTTGAATCGGCGGATCGCGACAGTGCTCAGCGCAACATATTCGTCCGTGGCCTCGGATGGGACACGACGCACGAGAGCCTCAAGGCGGCTTTCGAACTCTATGGCGAGATTGATGAGTGCTCAGTGGTGATGGATAAAGATACGGGGAGAGCCAAAGGTTATGGGTTTGTGATGTTCAAGACGCGTAAAGGAGCGAGAGAGGCTCTTAGAAACCCGGAGAAGAGGATGTTCAACCGCAATGTGAGCTGTAATCTAGCGGCGGCTAAGCCGTCTGGAGCTGGAAAGCCACGGGAACCACCGGTTGAGTCTGTGAAGATTGAGCTAACTCAACCGGCTAATCAGATTGAAATGGCTTTACCGGTGCTCGATTTGGGTCAGGGACATGGGCTCGACAAGGGAATGCAAATGCAGCAGCAGAATATGCCAATGTACGGTGGACAGAATATGCCTTTTTATGGTCACTCTCAGCCTCCTCTTGGTTATAATCCAATGTATGGTGCGTTTATGGGTAATCCGATGGTTCCTGGTTTACCGAATTATCGTATGTTTGCTCCCGGTATGATGAACCAGGGACCACCGAACCAGATGGGAATACCGAACCAGATAGGATTGGCGGGGCAATATGTTGGTGAAGGTAATGGTGTTGGTCCTGGTTTTGATGCTGAACGGGCTTGGTATCTTAGATAAGAGTGACCGAGTGGTATGACCCTGTTTTTGGATATTTATGATGTCTTCTTTGATTAGACTTTCAAATATTTTAGGCTAGGCTAATGATTAATCTGGTATCTTGCAACTTTATATCTTGGAAATTGCCGGATTTTCTTATCTTTATCTTTCTACATTACTGTTTCAAGCCTACTTTTTTTTGGATTCAATGTGTTAGTGTGCTTAATTTTCTAATTCTCTTGCTCTCACACTGGTGTTTCTGATTTGTTCATCTTGGCAAAAGAGTATTCATTTCTTTGTTTTTTGTTTTACTCTTCTAGTGAAATGTGGTAAATTTGTCCATGGTCAGTATTTGTAGGTTTTAAGTTGTTTGGTATCTTCTGTTTTCCCTTATGGTTTTCCTTTTGCCCCTAATGGTTCTCCTGTCTTCCTTTTCACCATCAAACATGCGTCTGGTTTTCTTCTGTGGCTTCGTGTAAAGGGTTGTCTTTTCTGGTTTTTCCAGTTATACCATCAAACTTCTGATCTCTATAGCCGGAGAAGAACTGCTAAAAGCCTGTATCTTCATCTGCAGTTGTCTTCGAACCCGTTTGTAGGATCAGACTGATGGTTTAACGTTCTTTTTTAATTTGTTTTTCTCCCTTTGCTGCCAAAAGATTTGCAAGATCCTTTTGAAGGTTCCTAATTGATTTTTTTTTGAGAATGAGGTCGAGATTTCTGTCTATACACTGTTTATTTTCGAGCAAAGTTTCTCTTCATTTTTCAGTTTTCACTATCTTTGGTCACATTCCTTTTTTTGGCCATTGTGTGACACTCTTTTGTATTTGTGTTCGAATCTCAGTCGCCAAGTTTTCTTTGCCCTCGTTTTGGTTCATTGGTCCTTCTGCTCGGTTTGTTTCCACTTATTTATCCTATGATCAGGATTGACATTTGTTTACTCAGTCGCTGTTCAGTTTCTATGGACAGTAGAGGGTTTAGCTCTGGTTGAGCTTTGATATCTAGAGTTTGTGGTTTTTTCTTTAAAAGTTGGATCTTAGTGACCGATGCCAATCCTTGTTTTCTTAAAGGATCAATCTTGTTTTCAGTTTTGGGATTGTGTCTTCCTCTCCAATGTTTTCTCTGTAGCTATATCCATAATGAGTCTCCTCTCGTATTCATCTATGGTATGCTTCAGCTGCAGCTATCAAATTCAGCTTTGGTTTGGTTTTTGATCATTTGATTTTCATTCTTTTGTGATCAACAGTATACTTTATTCATTTGATCTTTCTTTGTGAGAGGTCTTTGTTTTTCTTCTTATATGGTGCTCCGAAGATCTAAGAATTTTAGGATCTCTGGTCTAAACATGTTTAAGTTTATCTGGACGAGGTTTTTGTGTGGTTGCCACTCGCTGGAAGTTGAGTTTTTTCTCTTTCTTTTACAAATCGCGACTGAACCGCAAAATTGAACTCAAACGCGCGATAACGAAGAAACGACTAAACTACCGTCTCTGTAGCCGCCATAAATATCGAAACTCATGCCACCAAACAAAAAAAATATTGAATTCAAAAAATCAAAATCCCTAAACTTGACTTATCCTCTTCTGCGACTGCAATGGCGAAAACCCTAGAGACAGCTAAGAAGCGCAAATTCGTGAAATCCAATTCCAAGACAATCGATAAGAAGCAGAAGATCAATAACTCTGCTCATCAGCGACAACAACCTGAATCCTCGACGCACAATTCAAGCTCCAGCTCTGATTCCAGCGATTCGGAATCGGAGAAGGAATTCGACCCGGAGGAGCTCCGGGAGCTTCTGCAGCCGTATTCCAAGGAGCAGCTCGTCGACCTCGTGTGCTCCGCTGCAAAAATCGGATCCTCGATCTACTCCGCCGTCGTAGAAGCCGCCGACCGTGACGTCACACACAGGAAAATCTTCGTTTACGGGCTTCCATGGGAGACAACGCGCGAGACTCTGTTCGGAGTTTTCGAAGGCTACGGCGAGATCGAAGAGTGCACCGTCGTTATAGACAAGGTCACTGGTAAGGCCAAAGGCTTCGGATTTGTGATGTTCAAGTCGAGGAAAGGAGCGAGAGAAGCGCTCAAGGAACCGAAGAAGAGGATTCTTAATCGGACGGCGACTTGCCAGCTGGCCTCAATGGGGCCTGCGGCGTCGGGAAAGGGGCAAGACCAGCCGGGTCCGGTTAAGATAAGTTTCGGTTCGATGGCTAATCAGGGCCAGCAACAGCAAGCGCAAGCGCAAGGGCAACAGTTTTTTAGCGGCGGTGGAATGGCTGCTTCGCCGTATATGTTAGGGAGCCAATACCATCCGGTTTATGGAACCGGGATGTTGGGGAATCCAGCTTTAGCAGCGGGCTACATGTATCCGATGCTGGCGAGTGCTCTGAGCCATGGGGGGTTGGGTTCTGGTGGTGCGTTGATGGGTGAGGCAGGGGTTGGTGCTGCTGGTCTATCATCTGCTCTGGGGTCTTACTTTAGAGATCAGAGTCAGCCAAGTGCTTATCCAGATTCCGATACCGGGAAAAGAGGGAGTGGTAAAGATTCGGATGCTGGTGGCTCGTTTCAGGGCTACTCAAACTATTCATGGTACGCTCACTGTAACCTTTTGTGTTTTGTAGCAGTACATTTGCTCATATTGTGGTTTAGATGTGTTTTGGTTAAGCATATTGTGTATGATTCAGATTTCAGAGTAGGTGTGTAAAGTCTTTGGCTTTAGTGTGTAGATAAAATTGGTCAAGTCTTTGAGGTAGTATCGGTTTACGAGTTAGTGTGTTGGCTGAAATGTCTGGATAAAGGTTAGATGAGCGGATGTTGTGTCACACGAAGCTTTTGTTTTCTTTATTTTCTTTCATTTCGTCTTGTTTGTTTTCCTTTTTGGTTTTTGGTTTCCATGATTTTCCTTACAGTTTCTAGTTTTACAGTTTTCTTAGTGTTATTTGTTTTAATCAAAGTTACTTTGTCTTGGTTGGTGAAGGCGGGGGCTAGCGTTGTTGGCTTAGTTTTCAGATGCACAATTTGACTCGTTTCTTTATGTTGCACTAAGGTTTCATCTGGTTTTGGTTTAAAAGTCTGGAAATAAGCAATAACACTTTAGCATTGACCTGTTTTTGCCGTTTCATTCATGTTTTTAGTCTTCCTTGTTTGATTATTATTGTTTTGATGTTTGTCCCTTTGTTTTCACTTTTCGGGGTTATATGACCATGATGATTTGGGCGCATTGCTCTTTGTTTCCATATGTTTTGTTTTTTCTTTTGTCTTAAGCTTTTGATAAAGTTATTGTTTGGTTTTGTTTTCTTGAACTCCAACTTTGCAGATATGATGTGAGCTGAGCATGAGAATGATAAACATGCAGTTCTGGGATTTCTTTTTTTTTTTTAACATTATTTCTCCGTTCTCTTCTGTTTCACTTTGTATTTCCTGATATTTATGTCAATCAAGTCAGTTTTTTTTTAGTTTTCTTTTTTGGTATGTTTTCGTTTTCACTCTTGTCCGACAGTTTGATAGTCGATTGCTCATATATCTTTGAGTCTTACTCTTAGTAAAATCATTGTGATTATTCGTTAAAGACCTCTCTGCACTGCATCGTATGGTGACTTATGCGGAAAGGTTTGTTCTTTTGTCTACTTATGCCTTTGTGTTCCTGAGACCCCCCTTGTCATATGGATTCTCAGATGGTGACAAGGAATTTTGGTTTGTTTGCATTGTTCAACCAAACTGATAGGAGACATGTTGGTAGCTAATAATACATCACTGAAGTTATATGTATATGATCACATTTGATGACCACATTAGATATGGATTTTTGAAAGATGACTTAACAGTTAGGAAGCTGCGCTTGATACAATTGGATCTCGAAATGGTACACAGTAAACAAAGTCTTTTTTGGTTTATGGAACAATACAGACTCAGTCGAAAGCTAAAACTGATGATTGCCTTAAAGAGTCTCCTCAGGTAAAAAACCCACAACAAGTTTTGATTTTTTGAATCTAAAATGTTAGGAGATTAAGATTGTGTTGTTCACTTCTTCCTCTTCTTTGGTGGCTGTAGCGCCTCCTCCTCCTCATCTTCTTCCTCTTCCTCTCCCTCCTCTGCTTCTGCTTCCTCGTCTTCATCTTCTTCACCCCCATCTTCATCGTCCTCCTCATCATCGTCATTCTCATGGTTATCATCATCATCGTCGTCATCATCATTACCATCATCTCCTTCAGGTTCTTCCTCATCATCTCCATCTCCAGCTTCACCGTTCTCATCAGGACCATTTAGTGGTGCTTTCTTGGTCTCCTTTCCTTCTGAATCATCCGCACCACCTTCCTCTTCTTCCCCATCATCATCACCATCACTATCTTCATTGTTACCATTGCCTTCCTCTGCATCAACCACCTCGTCTCCATTCCCTTTGACAGCATCACCTTCCAAGACAGCGACCTGCAATTTCATATTCACTTTATCCAGGGCTTGTTTAACATGATAATACACTTCTGAATTGGGCCATAAATGAGTCATGGCCTTCTTCTTCTAAAGTGCTATTCGGTTTGAAAGCATAATCTATGGAATATACCATTTTGATATTTAATGGACCCACAATTTTTATACTCCCATCTCCATATATTCTCATTAAAGCAAAGCGACGTCCTCAACTAGCTATAGTATTAATTTATTAAACCCTCAAAATCAATTTATTTTTCCAACCACCCAATCTAAAGAAGTAACGCTTTAAGTCGGTCAAGATTTATTTATTTTGTTAAACGATGAATAATACATCCAAGAAGTGATAGATAAACTTCAGCATATCAATTTACTTATATGATTTATCCACCCAAAAAAAAGTTGTTCAATGCAACCGCGAACACTTGAAAACGTTTGTTAAAAAGAAAAAAGAAACAGAGTTCAAAATTACAAGATTTGTTCAAGAACAGAGGGAGAGGGAGGAGAGAGAGCTTGCCTTAGTGAAGAGCTCAAACAAAGAGGAGAGCACAGTAGCCGTTAAAGCTGAAGCGGCGTAGTTTAGCACTGAGGCGTTACCAAGCGCTAGGGACAGCCTCGTACCTTGTTCTTCTAACTCCATTCTTGCTCTTCTTATGTTCTTACGGAAACCGTTAGATCTGCAATGAAAACGACATACATGAGAAATCTTTGTACTACAATTTCATAAGCTTATACAAGAAGAAAGATAAAATGGCATAAACAATTAGAAACAGAGGAGATAAACAAGGTCTGAAATTTTCACAACATACAAAACAATCATTTCTCATTTGTGGACGAAATAAAACATTAGAGCAAGAAACGGAGAAGTTGGAGAAGAACATACCGGAGAAAGAGCTCTCAAATTGTGGGGAAAGAAAAGAAACTAAAAGAGATGAGCTCTGTTCATGGATGGTAGTGTTTAGAGATTTGTGATCAAACAAGAGTTGTTCAGAAACTGAGATATAGAGAGATGAGGGATGAGAGAGAGTGTCTGTATTAAGCTGCCCGTAGTTGTTACTACGAATCCTTCGGGCAAAACGGGCAGTGGCTCTTATGTGATCATCTCGAAATTGACCTGCCCGGACCTGCCACGTAAGCCAAACAAGTGTGGGCTCTCTCTGTTAAGTCATACATATTATGCCGACCAAGATCTTCATCTTCTCATGTATAATACTATATATTATGTAATATGTATATCTATGTATAATGTAGTCAATGGTTAAAAAAAAAGAAAAGATTTGGTAACAATTAACAAAGAGAACATATTCTCTTCTTCTTCTTCTTCTATACTTTCTTTCTCTCTTTCTAATTGTTCCAGTTCCTTTTACCTCTCTTTATTTCCCTTTATGCTTTCCCCAACAATATATCTCCATCGTTCATAATATCCTTCTCCTTTTAACCACCATGATCTCTAGTCTACTACTAAAAGACTCACATTCCATGTCGTCATATTCTAATGCCCAATAATGATGATGCAACTTACATAGTAATATAACAAACAAGAAAACTTTTGTTTGTTTCCCTCAAAAGAAACCATACCTGAATCTTTTCTTCAATGCCTTGAGTTAGTTTAGTCCCCCTTTGAACTTCAGTTTTCACCAATAATCGTGGCAAGAACAAACCCCATCTTTGAAATGGTGAAACCTTGTAGTGTCTCTCACTATTATCTCCCTTCCAACAAGCTTGGAGATGAACTTTATAGCTGTATGGCAATCATTGCAAACTCTTAGATTCTTCATGATCCTTAACGTTGTTTTATCCGGAGTGCTAATTAACCCGAAAGCGATTGCTAGTTTCTCGCTGTGGTGCCTTAGAATCTGTTCTTTAACCTCTTCTTCAAGGTCGTGCAATACAGAAGCAGTGTCAGGAACATAACCCATTTTCTTGATCTCGTCCCAAATCTTCTTCACTGTGATATAGATCTCGTTCTTCTGTGGATGAGTCCCGTCTTCGACTCCAAAGACATGGACTTTATGCTTCACTTCAATCCAGCTAAACCCTTGTTCCTTCTTCACTCTCCCATCTTTCATTGATTTTCTGGTCTTAGCAGCTTCTCCCCATTTCCCACAAGCTGAGTATAAGTTAGCCAATGCTGAGTATGCTCCACTGTTCTCTGGCTCGATACAAAGCAATCTCTCTGCTGCAACTTTCCCAAGCTCAACGTTCTTGTGAACCCTGCAAGCTGAAAGCAGTGAACCCCATGTCACTACATCCGGCTCAATCGGCATATTCTCAATGAACTCTTGTGCTTCCTGCAATAAACCAGCCCGTCCAAACATGTCCACCATACAAGCATAGTGGCTAAGCGTTGGTTCAATCTTATACACGTCCTTCATCATATCAAAGTATTGACGGCCTTTGTTGACCAAACCAGCGTGAGTACAAGCAGAGAAAACACCAACATATGTTATGTGATCAGGTCTTAGTCCTTCCTTCAGCATTGTCTCAAAGAGCTCAAGCGCTTCTTCTGCATGACCGTGCTGTCCCAACGCAACAATCATTGACGTCCAAGATACTGTATCCCTTTCGCACCGTATCAAATCAAACGCAAGCCTTGCCGATGTAATGTTACCTGCCTTTGCATACATTGTTATCAACGCATTGCTGACAGAAACAGAGTAAACTTCCCCTGACTTTACAACACTCCCATGGATTTGCTCGCCATGACTCAGCGATGCTAAGCTTGAAGCTACACTCAACATTGCCGCAAAAGTGTAACTGTTCGGTCTCTGCCCTTCTCTAACCATTGACCTGAAAAGGTTTATAGCTTCTCCATACAAACCGTGCTGCTCGTATCCAACAATCATTGCGGTCCATACAACTACATCTCGATCTTTCAACGAATCAAATATTGTCTTAGCTTGTTTCATATCTCCAAGCTTGATATACCCATCAAGCAAAGCTGTAAAACCTTCAATCTTAAGATCCTCTGTTCCTCTTTGTTCAATGAGCCTCCAAGCAGTATCAACCCCTCCACACCTCGAGTACATCGAGATCAGAGCGTTTAACACAATCCCAGAGATATCAAATCCTGTTGCAACAATATGTGAATGAATCTGCTTCCCAATACAGAGTTTCTCAAGATTAGCACAAGCAGATAACACACTCGCCAGAGTAAACCTATCTGGTGACAGCAGAGACTCCCTAAGCATATTCCAAAACATATCTAACGCTCTGAGATCATACCCTCGCTGATTGTAACCAGAAATCATAGAGTTCCAAGTGACTATATCTCGCTCAGCCATTTGCTCGAACTGCGCCACAGCAAGATCCATCTGACCAACCTGCATATGTAACGCAATCATAGCGTTCCAGCTTGAGATGTCTCTAACCACCATCCCATCAAAAAAAACTCTTGCCATCTTTGGATCACCACATTTCGCGTACATGTTAAGCAGAGAGTTCGACACCGAAACGTTACCGAAAAGTCCAAGCTTTACGATGAAAGAATGAACCTTTTTACCTGTATCCAAACACCGAGATGCAGCAACCGATGCAAGAACATTCGTAAGCGTAAACTGCGTCGGCTCAATCCCTTCCTTGATCATTTCACTCATGGTTCTTATAGCCTTTTGATACTGACCAATCTTCTTATACCCTACGATCATCGTCGTCCACGAAACAGAATCCTTTTGAGGCAGTTGATCAAAGAACTCACATGTGGAAACCATATCTCCTCGTTTCGCGTAAGCCGAGAGAACCGTGTTCCATGAGAAAGCTGTTCTAAGAGGCATTTCGTCGAACAGCTTGCGTGCGTGAAGAGCAAAGCCGGTTTTTGAGTAGACGTTCATTAGATTGTTCATCAGGTAAACGCTGAAGACGAGTCCCGATTTGATAACGCGGCAATGAACCAGTTGCGCTGTGAAACGACCATTGGACTTGAGAGAATTTTGCAGGAGATTGGTACATAGTTCCAACAAAGCATGTGACGAATTTGGAATGGGAGCATTCATTAACAGAGATAGACGAACAACTTGAAAAGGTGTCTTCTTTGAGCTTCCAAATTCAGTGAAATGTAGAGAAATCTCCAAAGGTGACAACTTTGCCGGGAAGGAAGAGAAAGAGAAATGGCTTTAAAAATTCAATTTTGCCTTTCTTTATAAAATTGAATGAAACGTTTCCATGACATTATGACAAAAAATATACATAACTCTGCTCAGAAAGTTCTAAAAGAGGAAACTAATCTCTGACCAACTACTATAACTAAATTCAATTAAGTGTATTAATTATTAACCAACTAATGTAATCTATGGCCATAGGTGTACCATAAAAACTGTATATTGTACGTGGAAGTAGAAATGATTTCATCCACAAATCCTCATTGTGATAAATAGATTAGATACTACTTTTAATTCTACTAATTTGCATGAAAACTCTAAATCAAAGTCTGGCCAAAACATTTAATTGTATATTTTTTAGATACCATCACTAAGGGATTTATCAAATTGTATCTAAACTGTGTATTTCTTTAATTTGCGTAAAGACTAAAGAGCGAGCATGAACATAAAAAAGATCATGAAGGAACATACGTAGACATCAGAATCGGCTCAGTATGCAACGAGAAAATTCAAACATAAGCTTCTTTACACAAACTTAAACAATGTTTATTTTAAAATTTTGGTTCCATGATAAATCTTTTCTAGTTGGGCATTTCATTGCAAAACTCGCTCTCAAAGTCTCAAGACCATATTAGTCATACAAGCTGCGAGATCATTCGGAAACAACTAAACAATGCAAAAGATCACTGAGGATAGTATATGGGACTGAGGCCACAATACCAGACCACTCGATCGTCCCACAAATCGTTTCTCTAACCCTATCCAATGCGAACAAAAACATCTCAACACTCGCGTCACCGCCAGATTTGAAAAGGTATTTGAAAACCACTAGCTTTCCCTCGTATTCCGCCATTGCATGCACATTTGGGAGAAACAGTTCCTCCTTCCCGTCACGACTGACCAATTTTCTCCATAAACTGAGCTTTGTGTCAAACCACATCAACCCACTCTCAAAATGAGCGTAAAGAATGTTCTCTACCACACACACGCTACTTAAACCTTCACGTAGCCTCTCCCTTGTCTCCTTACCAACGAGTTTCTCATTTACCATATGAACCAACCGCTCACTTTTACCTTGTCTCGGATTGTATACACCGGTTCGTCCACCGTACACCATGTAAATCTTCTGCTCCAGCGACGCAATAAACTGTTGATAGCACTGTCTAGCTCGCACTTTCTCATGCCCCGCAAATTTCCAAATTTTTGATTCTGGATCGAAAATTTCCACCTGGATCTCTTCATTAGGCCCTGCAAAATCGACGACACCGATCACGTATATCTTCCCATCGATTACTCCTAACCATGTGTGGACACGACTGCGCGGAATTTTCATGCTTGGTCCCTGGACAAACTTTCCAGATCGTGTATCAAGAATCCATAGATCAGTGGAAGGTGTTTGCGTTGAGGAGCCAACAAAGTAGATCTCTGATCCAACAGAGACGGACAAAGATTCTGTCATTAATGGATGAGAAGGCAACATAGTAGGAACCAAACAATACTCATTCGTCGTTGTTGTTGTTGTCGTAGTTTTCTCAATCTGACGGAGAGTAAGCCATTGGTTATCAATGGAGTTATATAAATAAATGGAACCCTTGGGGAGGAGGAGGGATCGCAAACGGTGGAGCTCAGGCGAGCGAACAAGGGACCTTAGGGTTCTTGAGACACCAGCGATGTTTTAGGTGACAATTTCTTGGGACGCGCGCTAAGCAGCTTAAAACGATTTCCTCAGGTAATGAAGAAAGCGATGACAGCTGACGGTTACCTTGTTGCGGTGGCTCGTTGGCGTTGGAGGCGCTGTGTGTAGACATTGTATCGTTCACAAGAGAAAACAAAAAAAAACCAAGAACCCTAATTATAACCTGGGACGACCGTCTTATAAATTTAAGGAGGAGCATTTAGTAAAATCTAATAAATAATGTAATTCCCTCAACTTTAACAAAATTGTAATATTATTATTAAATTCCTCTGCTGTTTATTTACAATTTTTAAAACATGGTTTTAACTTTTAAGCAAGTAAACTAAAGAAAGATATAGATTTGTCACACGTTAAATCAGAGATCAACCGGATCTATTACTAATAAAAGTTGAGCCTATATGCATTAGAGGCTGTCCACCTAGGATTTAAAAGGTTGAATTTGATTGGTCCATGTCATTATTTTTAATTTTTTTGCTTTTAAATTAATTTATGTAAATTTTCTATTTTACATATTATTTATTAATTAGTTTTCAGTAAAGATAATTTCTCTGATTTTACAATTTTCGAGAACTGAATTATAAGTTTCCTATTCATAGATTATCTAAATTTACATATATTATTAGTATTAGTTTCTTTTTTAGTGGAAAATTTACACATGTTTAAGTAATTATAGAAATAAATTTCCTATTCAGCCAAAAAGATGCTATGGTGTAGCGGTTATCACAATTGTCCTAAACGCAACAGGTATCGAGTTCGATCCTTTGCAGTCCCCTTTTTTTTTTAAACCGTTTCAAAAATAATTATATGGACATTGCCATTAGGTTACCACAAAAAAAAAATCAGACATCGGCATCTCCAAAACGGGATCTGCTACATCTTCTTCCCCTTTTTTCTACAAACCCTAAAACTGCATCTCACAAAACTCTCTCTCTCTCTCCACCGTCAAACAACAAAAATCCATTCTTCATTTCCCAGATTTCGTAAATCGAATTGGATTTATTTTGCCCTAAACTCCCTATTTCGCATTGTTGCAAGTTTGAAGCTTCAGTACAACTTCAGTTGAGGGAGTATTAGACCAAAAATGGAGAAATTCGGAATCTATTACTAAGATAAGTCTTGTGATTTGACTGTACAATTCGGCTGCTTTAATTTCTGGCGAATATAAGATTGCTTCTTGGCATTTTTTTCTTATTTCTTCTTCCAAATTTATTTCTTGGTTTCATTATTTCGTTTTAGTCTAGAAGATTCTTGAAAAACAAATTGGATATTGTTTGATAAAGATTAGGATTTGGATAGTTCCTATTTTTGTAATTATCACTTCTCTAATTTCCTTATTGTACAATGACATTGATATACATTGATTCCTTTTTCCATTAGGAATAAGATGATCTTAAATCCTATATATATGTGGTCTTATTGCCACATGAAACCAAGTTCAGAATATACATTCACATCTCTCAATCGATTTTTATAAGCCATGGCAAATTCATGCTCTTCTGTTTCTAATCAGTTAAGCCATACTTTGGTTTTCGATGATCTAAAAAAAGGTTTCAAAATAATGATTTGCTTGTCAGAGTCATCCACTTTTGGGAGGCACGAAACGTTAGAAAAGGCGGATTACTCATGGGTGTAGAACTCCTTCTCATGGATCAGAAGGTACTTAATCAAAGGATTTTAAAGAAAAAAATTGAACCTGAAGGCTAAGGACGTTTGATCTCTGTAAAAACAAGAAAACCAAACAAAAAAGGGGTAAAGTCAATGAGAAGAGATTTCAAATATTATTAAAAACGACCAGTGAAAGGAGAAAACGCTCTAAAACTCGACAGCTATAAGTCTCAGGAACTTGCCAAAGCAATTGCCACCACCTAGAGTTATACATTTATCACCAATTCGCATCCGGACAATTAGATTACAAACAAAATACACCATTTGGACATCAGCAAAAAAAGATTGAAAATACGGAAAATCTAACCTTCATCGAAGCCATTAGCTGAGAATCAGGAGAAGAAAGAAGCATCGAAACTCAGGGAAGGGGATGATGAGATGCCAAGAACAGTGATTTCGATGACTTTAAAACGAAGTCGTTGACTTTAAAACGAAGTCATTGACTAAAGCCATTGAAGAAAAGTTGTGCTCCATATGAACTGAAAACAAAACCAACGAGATATTTCAAATATCAAATTGATAGCTAAACCGAACCGAAACAAACATAGACTGATTAAACATCAACAAAACTAGCAAACACCGAGAAAACCCAAAATTTAACTCGGTGACGTTATCGAAAATCATTTGACCAAAAAATCAAACCATCAATCGGCGATAAAGGGGAAATTCGAGATTGGTACCTAAGTTAATTGAGAAATTCAGAGCGAGAGTCGAAGGAGATCGAAAAGAAGAAGAAGCGTGAGCTCTCCCCTGGTAATAACAAGATTAGCAACAAAGAAGAGGGATCTAGATGATGAGATGGTTCCGGTGGGAATAAGGAAGAAGAAATATTGTTCGATTGTGGTCGGCAAATGAAAGAAAAAGAAACGAAGCATTTCTAATTTCTATGAGATAGGAAAATCGAACCGTAACAAACCAAAAGAATTTAACCGGGAATTGGAAAAACAATTAAAAGATGATGACCACGGGAAGAAGAAGAAGCCATATGATATGGAAAAAGTGGGAATACATTTAACACGATTATATCATATGAAACAATTAAAAAAAAATTATTTTTTACTCCTGATCTTTCTGATTCCTTTCTTCCCGTCCTTAATGATCTATAAAATACATTTATATTTTATTTTATTTTCTAGATATAAGACTTTTAAATATAAAAACAGTGATTTAAAAATAAAGAGATGAATTTATTGAATGGAATTAAATGCAACATAATTAAAATTACAAAAAAAATTAAGTATAAATCATAAATTCATAGCTGGAAAAGCTAAACAAATAAATAAAATTAAAAAATAAATTAAGAACTAAAATATGTATTAGACTAATATTGGATAAGTTTGCCAGATAACCTTTATTGGATATAAAAAAAATTGTCTAATGAATAGTAAAATTAAGGGATTAGTTTAAGAAATTTGAGGATTGGGCTGTTGTATGTTTTTATGACAAAAAAGATTTTTAAAAGGTATCTTACTTATTATGACTACTTATAAAAATAATTAAATTGGTTAGGTAAAAAAAATTAAAAGTATATTACAAAAAAAAGTTTATTAAAAAAAATTATAAACAAAAATTGAAAAATAGTGAAGCATTTTAAAAACCTTTTTTTAATAAATGAAACTATTATTTTCATCTCTTATCAAAGAAACAAAAAAAATTGATGACTCGAACTTGATATACAAATATTCTTAATTGAATCATCCCTTTTCTTAATACTAGGTCTTTTACCCGAGCACGCGCGGATCTATTTTAATAGTTTGATTAAATATTTTTTATTCCTAAATTTTTGTCGTCAAAGCATGTTCATGGTGACTATTGAACCAATATTTTTATTTTTCGTCCTTAGTTTATTTTTCTTTGGTCTATTCTTATTTATTTGGTTTCTTTTTGTTTATTTTGGTTTCTTCTTCATCTTTATTCCTTTTATATTTATTCATTCTCGGCTTCTCGCGGTTTCTTATTCCGTTATTTGGTCTATTTCTTCATCTTTGTTCATCTTTTGTTTTTTTTTGTCTTAGTTCTTTGATATTCTTGTCTTCACTTTTTTTTTCTTCATATTCTTTGTGTTCGTCTTGGTTATTGTTCTTATGTTTCTTCTATGATTAGTTCAGACGGTCAAAGTTGCTAGAGTTTTACTTTTTTTTTTGTTATTTTTTTCTAGATTATTTTCTGCTGGAATTTGTTTCACGATTTTATCCTTTTTAGAAATCTTTAATTTAATTAGGTAAAATAATTTTTTTACTATCTGATACCCTAAACCAAATTTAAAAATGTAAAAGATTCATAGAAATAAAATTAAGTTAGAGATATACAAATATATATTTAGACATATACTAACCAATGCCTAATAATAATACAAATAATTCAGTTTATGCGATCATAATGATATAGTTAAGCATAGCTTTCAATTTTCATATTCTTTGGTTCATCTTTTTATTTGGTTTCTTGGTTTAGCTTTATATTATGTGGATTTTTTTTTTATATTTTCGTTCTTTGTTTTATTCGTCTTTTCTTTTCTTCATCAACCTTTTTTTCTTTGCTTTTCTTGGTTCTTATTTCTATTTCTTCTATGATTCATATTTTCTATCGAAAATGCTGCGTTTCTCCAGAGTATGTTTATTCCAACTTCCTCTTCTTCTATGCATTAGTTGTTCTTCGCTTTAAATTCTCCATGACTATACTTTTTGTAAATATGTTTAATATTAACCTCTTTAATCTTAGGTAGATTTTTTTCACTATCTAGCTAAGCCTTCAAAAATAAATTGTACGTCTAACAATTTTAGCTACAAAAACTAATAATATTGTAGATAACCTAATACTAATATTTATGTTGGATTTCTAGGAGTATAAAATTTATTTGAAGAAAAGCTAATCGACACACATTGTGGTTTTTCATTTCCTTCTTCACTCACTCTTGTTTCTATATTTTTAAATTTTATTTATTTAGTCTCTTCAATTTTTCCTACTTTGATTTTTTTTTGTTCTTATTTGGTTTCATATTTATCTTCACTCATCTTCGTTTCTGCTCTTCTTCGGGCTTCGCTTTCCTTTGTCTTTGCTCTTGTTTATTATTTCTTTGTGTTCTTGTTTGGTTTCATTGCCTTCTTCACTCTTGTTTCTATGTTTTTTTTGTAAATTTATTCTTCTGTAATTTTTCCTACTTTGATTTCTTTTTTATTCTTATTTGATTTTTTATTTATTTTCACTCATCTTCGGTTATGATCTTCTTTATTCCTCCTATGTGTTCTTTTTTGGTTTCATATCTTTTGTTCTTGTCTTAGCAAAAAAAATATTAGTGTTAAATAAGCTCATGTGTACTAATAATATTAGTTTTTTAAAATTTAATATGACCAATTTACATGACAAAGGTTTTTTTTTATTGTAATTAGAAAATATATACTTTTATTTATTTTCTAAAGTATTTAATTAATAAACTGTTCTAAAATATAAAAAGGAAAATAATTACTTAATTTTAGTAATTATGTGGAATGATACTATTGGTTGTTTAAAATCATATATACTTAATTTTCTTATATCTTACATATTTAAAAATCAAATTTTCTTTTTAATCACGTAAATGTTTATGTAGACTAATCAAATTAAGATAGTCAATTTTATATGATGATGTGGAATGATACTATTGGTTATTTTGGAATTAGGAAACTTTCTTGAAATATAAAAAGATGATTAATTAATTTTAACAAATAGACCTTATTTTATATAATGATGTGGAATGATATTATTGGTTATTTAAAATTTGGAAACTTTCCTAATATTGAGATGCTTACATGGACCAGTAATATTGTGTTTTTAAATCCTATGTGGACGCTCTGAGAGGCTTATAGCCTCAATTTTTATATATTATAGATTATGGTAGAAAAGAGTATTATAAACTGATGATGATTTAATTTTCTATTAGTAATTGGTAAATAATATTGGTGCCGTTACCTTTTAATCAATTAGAAGCAGTTCATATCTCATAAGCAGATATTCTTTTTTAGTATTCCTTGCCTCCCCAGAATGGATGACTCTAGCAAGCAGCTCTTTCTTACAAAATCCTTTAGTGAGTTCATCGAAAATAAAAGGATGCCGTAACTGATCAGAAACAGAAAAGCTGGAAAAAGACATAGCTATTTTAATAATCTCTCTCTCTCTCTCTCTCTCTTTTAAGAATATGTTGTCTTTAGAACTCTTGTAAAGTTTAGAGGACTATTTATAGGCAATGCCAAACATTGAAATAGCTAAATTGTTAATTTTTTTTTAATTAGTTAGTTTAGCTTTTCCAGTAATATGTTCTTTTTTTAGTTTAACTCTTTTTATGTTAAATTTCCATTAAACTATTTAAAATAATGGGTTAAGGTAATTAGTGTCGTAATGTAAGTATTAAAATTCAAAATAGTACAATTTCCATTCTTTAATACAATAATGTAATTTTTTTCTCAAAAAATTATTTAATTTTCGATTTTAAAATTAAAATGCTGATTTGGCAAAATTTAATTGGTTTTTTAAAAGCTGATGTGGACGCTCTTAGAGGCTTATAGCCTCAACTTTTATATAGTATAGATTATTAAATAAAAATAAAAAAAAGAGGACATAAGATTTATTTACAAATATTAAAACGGAACCCGCGCGTGCGCGGGTAAAACACCTAGTACTACTAAAAAAGGCAGAAACAAATAAGTAAACGGTAATGTGGCCACAGCACCAGACCACTCGATCTTCCCACAAATCTCTTCCCTAATCCTATCCAATGCAACCGGTCTATACCTAATATCCCTCTTATTGGAATCAATATTATGTTGCTTCCAAAAAAATGCTAGCTTTCCATTGTATTCCGCCTTTTGATCTCCATACAAAGAATACAAAGCTGCTTCCCCATTACGATTAACCAATCTTCTCCATGCGTTGAGCTTTGTGTCAAACCACATTAACCCACTCGGCTTAAAACAACAAGCGTAAAGAACGTTCTCTACTCTACCACACACACACAATTCACTCTATCACTTACTCTCTCCTTGTCTCATTTTAAAACATAAAATATATTGCATTTAACAAATTTTGAAACATTGGAAGACATACAAAACACATAATCATAAATCTTCAAAATTAGAGAGAGAAGGTTTTTTTCTTTCTGTTTTTCTTTTCAAAAGACGAATTAATGTTGTGGCGGGTAGAATTTCTTGCTAAGAGTTTGGTTCCACAATTTTATGTTCTTTTATCTTATTCCGTTTTATGGTTTAAAACCCATCCTAAAAACCAGCTAATAACCCCGATGGAGATATTCTTATAACACAAACTAAATCGAAAATTTAACAACCCATATATATTGTACTTTTATCTTTATATTATTAATTGAGAAGTACATTCTAATGTTTGGATACAAGAATTAGATAAACATCTATTTGGATAGAAGAATAAATGGAAACAAAAGTTGTTTGGATATAAGAATAAGAAAAATCTATTTGGATAGAAGAATAAATGGAAAAAATTGTTTGGATACAAGAATAATAACTTAAAACAAACCGATGGTTTAGAAAACTTCCGTTTTCCAGCTCTTAAAAAATCGGCAAAAAAGAAAAATTAACATAATCTATCGATAATACCAAATTCGAATGATATTTGCAAAATTTCCAATAGTGAAATAGAAATACATATGATTTAAATCAAATTGTGGATTTCTGTTCGGTTTTTTTTTTTGAAAATTTATGTTCGGTTTGGGTTTGAGTTTTTTTGGGTTCAGTTCAGGTTTTCCAGATTTTTTGGATTTCGGGTTTTTGGATTTAGACATATTAAAAAAGTTTAGATATTTTAAATTTTTTATTAGGGTTTTTAGGTCGGGTTCGGGTTTCGGGTGAAAAGTTTGGAGTTTTTTTATTCAGTTCAGGGTTTTCGGGTTTTCGGGTTTAGACATATTAAAAAGGTTTGGATTTTTAAAATTTTGATTAGGGTTTTTGAGTCGGACTCAGATTTTGAATTTAGATTTTCTTCACAAAACCGCAACGTCACACCGCGCGTTTGCGCGGGTCCTCTACTAGTACTTGTTGTAATATAAACCTAAAATCCAAAAAGTTGAACTGAAATTTAGACATGTGTCCAAGGGAATTGAGGAGATATAAATCTTTTTGAGTACCTAACAATTTCTTATGTAATTCTTTCATCCGATGTGAACATTAATATATTTAAAATTTCTTTATTTCAAATTTGTTTCTCGTTAATTTAGAATTATTATGTAGGTTTTTAGGACCGTTGGATAAGGGGTTCTGCGGATGAGACTTTAGGGTAGATCATGTGGCAGAGGAGGGTTTCAGGATGGATGAGGGTTTAGGGTTTAGAGGGTTTGAGGATGGATAAGAGTTTAAGGGCCGATCAGGTTTAGGGCGGACAAGGGTTTAGAGCGGATAAGGGTTTAGGGCGGATGAGGGTTTAGGGCAAATCAGGTTTAGGGCGGATAAGGGTTTAGGGCGGATGAGGGTTTAGGGCAAATCAGGTTTAGGGCAGATCAGGTTTAAGGTTTAGGGTTATCAGGTTTAGGGTCCGCCCTAAACCCTTATCCGCCCTAAACCTGATCCGCCCTAAACCCTCGTCCGGCCTAAACCCTTATCCGCCCTAAATTTCTTATATTTATATAATTAAGTAAATCTTATAATATATGAATTTAATGTTTGCGTTATTTTTGTAAAAGTTGAATTCTTTTCAAAGGTTGTCTCTAGTTTATCTTACCGCATCTAAAATTTATGATGGGTTCTAGACGCGATAATTGTATTTTTATGCGTAACAGCATATAAAGAAATTATAATGGTATAACAAAAATGAAAAAAATGGTAAATACAGAAAATCAAAGAAAAAAAACTAAAGAATATACTTTCAAAAGAAATTTCTTATTTAGTGAGGGTTTAGGGCGGATAAGGGTTTAGGGCGGATGAGGGTTTAGGGCAAATCAGGTTTAGGGCAGATCAGGTTTAGGGTCCGCCCTAAACCCTTATCCGCCCTAAACCTGATCCGCCCTAAACCTGATCCGCCCTAAACCCTTGTCCGCCCTAAACCCTCGTCCGGCCTAAACCCTTATCCGCCCTAAATTTCTTATATTTATATAACTAAGTAAATCATATAATATATGAATTTAATGTTTGCGTTATTTTTGTAAAAGTTGAATTCTTTTAAAAGGTTGTCTCTAATTTTTCTTATCGCATCTAAAATTTATGAAGGGTTCTAGACGCGATAATTGTATTTTTATGCGTAACAGCATATAAAGAAATTATAATGGTATAACAAAAATGAAAAAATGGTAAATACAGAAAATCAAAGGAAAAAAAACTAAAGAATATACTTTCAAAAAAAAATTCTTATTTCAGATTATTATCATTAAATTCAATTATTTTTTATATTATTTAGTCAAAATCGTTAAATTAATAATTCTTTTAGATTAATAAAATATTAAAGTCCTGATATGGTTTATTTATAAAGTTTCTGTTGTACATATATGAATGTGTATAAGCTCAACCTAGTTCAGTAAGTTGCATGTAGTTCGGTATATCCTAGAGTTGGGGATTAAAATACCTGAAGAGTTTTCTTTTATCATGGAACGAAATGATAACACAAGCAATAAACCATACAAGGTTTAACAACTAAATTTATAACGCATACAAGTCACGTTCAAAGAGATTTAGCTAACAAGTTTCCCAACCATCTTAACCCAGTGTTCTGATGGTGCGACACAAAACAAGATCAATCAGAAACGACTAAGAAATTTTGAAAAGCACAAGAAGAATCTTCTGGCATCGTCAGGACACCATACCACTCGATCGTCCCACGAATCACTTCTCCAATCCAATCCAACGCGATCACTGCAGACCTAATTGTTGGAAATATTTTAACACTCTTGGATTTTGGCAGTCCTACATTAATCTCTTGCTTGCTGGAACCATACCACAAAACCGCAAGCTTTCCATCGTATTCCGCCGTTACAGCGTCATAGAAATTAGCTTCAAGTTTATCCAAACCAACGACGCTTCTCCATACTTTACGCTTTGCATCAAGTCCCATTAACCCTTGTTGAGAAAAATAAGCATGGAGCACATCATCTACCACGCACATACACCATACTTCCTCATCATCATCTCCCGGCATCTTCACTATCTCTATTCTTTGACCTTTTCTTGGATATTATACAGCTATTTATTTTTAATCTCTAAAAGGCATGCAATTGTATTTTTATTAGGGTGAATTGAGTGAATATTATCAGATGAGTGAAGAATTGAGAATACAGCAATACAGCGAATATAGTGCTTAATTGGATTGATACATATGTCAGAAGACGTCTAAACCGGAATTGCCCTATACCTTAAGCACGTGAAATTTGCGTGCTTTACTCCAGGGGACAAGTCATTAAATGTGGCGACTTGAGGGAACTGTCTTTTGGATAATCAAGTGGTTTTGAAAATTAGCTTCAGCAAATATGTTATCAGTTATTATCACGCTAACATCGACCATCATTGAAAATTGATATATCTTTTTAGGTCGTATCATGAAACATTGCTATAGCTTTCGTTGTTCATTTCGTACCATCTGTGGCTCGCTAACGTTAACATGTTAGCTACTAAGTGGATGTTAGCATGTCAACCATATTATCACTGCAACAGTGGGCATTGACTTTTGTTCACATTTGTCACGCTGTGGCTTATCCTAAACCCTAACCTTAAACAACATAACCGAAACCCTAAACAGCATAAACTAAACCCTATCCCAGGACAGGTGAACACATACCCTTAACCCATAAACCAACCCAAAACTAGACATAAACCCTTAACATGCTAACATCCCAAAGTATTTGTTATCATCTTAACTGAGTGGAATACTACCATGAATCTATGATAGCATAGATTAGCATGCTACCAAGCATTACAGGTGCTATCAATTATTATCACGCTAACATCGTCCATCATGAAACATTGCTATAGGTTCCGTTGTTCATATTAGCTAGTAAGTGTATGTTAGCATGTCAACCATATTATCACTGCAACACTGGACACCGAGTTTTGTTCACATTTGTGACGTCTCATTCTCCTAAACCCTAAATCCTACAACCTAAACCACATAACCTAAACCCTAAGCAGCATAAACTAAACCCTATTACAGGACAGGTTAACCTAAACCCTTACCCATAAAAACAACCCAAACACTAAACTCAAACGCATACATAAACACATACATGCTAAAGTAACAAAGTATTTGTTAGCATGTTAACCGAGTCGAATACTACCATGATAGCTAAACCCTAGTCCAGGACAGGTGAACTCTAAACCCTAAACCCTATACCCTAAGCAGCATAAGCTAAACCCTAGTACAGGACAGGTGAACCCTAACCCTAAACCATATACCCAACCCAAACCCATACCCAAACCCTTACATGATAACAAAGGTGTATTAACCATTTGTTAGCAAGTTAACCGAATGAAATTAGGTGGTTGGATATTATAGTTAGCATTTGTTACTCTGGCTGTATTGTTACCATGATAATAAACACATTCGCTGCCGGTAGCTCATGTGATTATCACTGCAGCACAGCACCCTAAACCAGGGCATCCAGTTTTGTTGACATATGTGACGTCTCACCTTATCTTCAACCCAAACCCATACACAAACCCTTACATGATAACAAAGGTGTACTAACCATTTGTTAACATCCTAACATGTTAACAAAGGTGTACCAACAAAGGTGTACATAAACCCTTAACATGCTAACATCCCAAAGTATTTGTTATCATCTTAGCCGAGTGGAATACTACCATGATAGCATGATAGCATAGATTAGCATGCTGCCAAGCATTACAGGTGCTATAAGTTATTATCACGCTAACATCGACCATCATTGAAAATTGATAAATCTTCTTAGGCCGCATCATGAAACATTGCTATAGCTTTCGTTGTTCATGTTAGCTAGTAAGTGTATGTTAGCATGTCAACCATATTATCACTGCAACACTGGACAGCGAGTTTTGTTCACATTTGTGACGTCTCATTCTCCTAAACCCTAAATCCTACAACCTAAACCACATAAACTAAATCCTAAGCAACATAAACTAAACCCTATTACAAGACAGGTTAACCCAAACCCTTACCCATAAAAACAACCCAAACACTAAACCCAAACGCATACATAAACCCATACATGCTAAAGTAACAAAGAATTTGTTAGCATGTTAATCTGTTCAAATATTATGGATATTTGTGAATCTGACCCACGCGCGTTCCCTTGTACGCAACACGAGTAGCCCCCTACATTGTAGGGTTTTATGCGTCTTTCTCATGTGAACAGTGCGTGAATAGTGGACCAAATTGCTGTCAGAAAAGGGCGCCTAATTATATTTTTATCTGTGTATATTGATTGCAATAACCCTTTTTATTACTCAAAGGCAAAACATAAGAGAAATCATTGCAATTGAATTGAAATAAATAAATATATGATGTATATTACTACATCCTTTTTTGAGTCAAAATATATTACTCTATCTGAAAATCCACTACTATCACTGATTCTCCAGCGAAGCAGTTACATCCATATACCCATAATTGTTCGTCATCATCATCATATCATCTTGACCCGCGTATACTCCTGGACCTTGAGCTATAGGAATCGGTTGATGCAGCTGTAATCGATCTTCTGATCGTTGTTCTTGCTGAGTGAGAGTGGCCTCAATCGGTTCATCCATAATTTGCATAAGTCGATCGTAGCCAATATACTCATTCTCATCATCTCCATCAAAACCAAAACCATTACACGGGTCCTGTTCTTGGTTCGACATCATCATGAAGTTGTTGCTGTCATTGCTCTGCAAAGGAGAAGGATGAGGAATCGGTGTATCTTCCTCTTGCTGTCGAGTGACGTCGCCATATTCTTCTTCTATCATCATCTTCTCAAGCTGATTACCAAAATCATCTTCTTCTTGTTCTTGGTCAGGTAAGACGATGTTGTTGTTGTTCTCCACCTGAGGGACAAGGTTCGACATCATCATGAAGTTGTTGCTGTCGTTGCTCTGCAAAGGAGGATGAGGAGGAATCGGTGTATCTTCCTCTTGCTGCTGAGTGGCGTCGCCATGTTCTTCCTCTTTCATCAACATCATCTCAAGCTGATTACTAAAATCATCTTCTTGTTGTTCTTGGTCAGGTAAGACGATGTTGTTGTTGTTGTTCTCCACCTGAGGGACAAGGTTGAGTTTCTCGTCCTTCTTCTGTCTGTCTCGGATCCAACACAAGACCCAGTTTTGGAACTCAACACCTTCCTTGTGAAGGGAAAACTCAGTCATGAGCCAATCAGTCTTCACTGGCTTTCCCTTCACTTTCTTGTTGAACACGAGACTCTGCTTGTAACCAATAACCTTATCGTCTCCGTCGACGATCTTTGTTTTCTTAGCGGTGGATTTCCACGTGCCACCTTCGCTTTCTCCTTTACCTGGCACGGTACGGTTCACTGTCGTGCCACGTCTTTTTGTCCTTTCTACAAAATAGTACCACTCCTTTTCCTTGAACAGGGAATTTGAGACGTGACGAAGATGACATGGCTCGGCTTCGTAAACGTTCAGAGTTGGTATGATGAAACGGCTCTGTTTATTCTCAACCTTGTTGCGAAGGTAAAGCCTCACCAATCCCAAATCCGTTGGATTAAACTTTGCACCAATCGGATAAACCATAGTGACGTCGATGAGAAGAAGAAGAAGTAGCTCGGACAAAAAGTTCTTGTTTGACTTATGCTCTGTTTGTTTTCGTTAGTTTGTTGGGAATTGTGATGTATAGAGTGTGAGGACTGAGGAGAGGGTTACATTATATAGTAGCCTATTAGGGCTACGTTGATTCAACGCTTGGTGCCACATAAGCATATAGATAAGGTTCCACTTACTTGCTATGAAAGGAAGGTTTCATTACCTTATTGTGAAAGGAAGATTTCATTTCCTTATTGTAAAGGGATCGGAATCAAATTACTTTATTTTCGGATAGAATATCGGAGTCAGTTACATAGTTCAAGTGTAGTTTTTCTAACCAAGCTTTTACGTAGTTGGCATAATATTTATCTTAAAGTTTGTTTGGCATAGTTTTCGTATTATTTAATGTAAGTATAAATGTGTCCCTGATATTTGTAAGCATGTTTTTCAGTGTGAAATTCTGATATCCTGACTCCATTAAGTCTCAATAGAACTAGAACTCATCAAGAACAAGCTCGTAGTTGAATATTTCAACCAACACCTTTGCTTATCCCTTAACAAAAATAAAGAATATTTCAACCAAAAGGGAAAAAACGAATTAGCTGCAATATATTTCAAATGCTTTGGCTTAACTATTAATACATGACGTAACATTCAAAGAGATTTTACAACAACTTCCCACCGTCTTAAAGCATATATATATTCTAATGGTGCAACATAACAGCGATCAATCAGAAACAGCTAAAAACTTATGTAAACTATAAGATTTTGGTACTGTGGTTATTGGTTAAACAAAATGACGTTGAGTTTAAGAGAAAAGAAAAAAAATCAAATCTACAAAAAAAATTGTTCCTCGAGAGTTCATATCCACCATTTGGTATGCAAATAATTTCTTATGACAAAACTTAGAACTTGGTTAAACGAAATGACGTTGAGTTTAAGAGAAAAAAAATCAAATTTACAAAAAAAACTGTTCCTCAAGAGTTCATATCCACCATTTGGTATGTAAATAAATTTCTTATGACAAAATTTAGAACTTATTTCCTTCAGGATGAGAATGTGAAATATCATGAACTTAACAACGTTCTTCTCCTTATCTAATTTATTGTTTCTTCTAAAAACTCGTGAGAGAGGAACTGCTATATAAAATTGAAAAGCAGGCAAAGATGCAAATCATTGTGAATATGGTGATGCTCAAATGGTCCACGAAGGGGACAAATTTATTGGTTCACAAAGTTTAGAAAACATTTCATAACAACATCACACACTCTAATCATCATTATACCATGACAAACATATTTGCTTATAAATTTTAATCAGAAATACCTAGACAAGTACAATGCCAAATGTCATAGTTAGCAGGAACAGATCCAAGTGAATCAGACCAATCGACTTTTCCATGGATTGCAACTTCACTCCTATCCAGCACGACCATCTTGCACCAAATCTTCTTATTAGTATCACCACTTCCATTGCTACAATCTCCCCACAGAATTGCAAGTTTTCCATCGCAATCCACCAATCCAACCCGTTCAATTGACTCATCAATCTTCAAACCTTGAACCACTCTCCATACCTTCTCCTTAGAGTCATACCACATTAGCCCCAAACCAAAGTAATAAACATAAATCACACTGTCAATCACACACGCTCCACCTCTATTCCATGTTTCATCCGCCATCTCAAAAGTCTCACTTGTACCATCTTTTGTATTGTAGACTACGTGAATCCCTTCTAAATAACCCATAACATAAATCTTCCCATCCACAGCAACAGTTTCTGACATTTCTCTTCCAGTTCTCATAGATCCGGTTCCATATCGATCTTCCCCGTGAGGGCTTAATGGCGCAAATTCCCAAGTTTGAGTCTCTAGATCAAAAACTTCAACAAGAAGCCGGTCGTCATAGAGGCACCCTCCCAGTGCGTATATTTTCCCATCCACCACCGCCACGCCTGGGTACCTGCGACCCGCCTTCATTAAAGGACCCCTCCACAACTTGCCGGACAAGGAATCGAATCTATATAGGCCCGGGAAAACACCAGCCGCACCAATAAAGTAGATATCGGAACCTATAGAGACGGTGGAACCAGACAGCAGCGGTGTAGTAAGAAACGGTAGTCGTATGTCCTGATCACTTGGTATCTTCTCGTTTAGGTTAAAAGTGAGCCAATGAAACACCTTGAGACGGTATCCGACAGAGAACCGTACATATAAGACAGGATAATCATTTTTGCCCATCAAATACCGTACCTGCGGAAGCTCATCAGGAGAAAGCACAAGGGACCGGAAGGTTTTCGAAACACAAGCGAGGATTGGGTCGTAGCGCCTGGGGACGCGGGCTAGGCAGTTCAAAAGGACATCGTTTGGCAAGGCTGTGGCGGAAGACACAACAACGTCTGGAGTTGGGTTTGAGCCAAAGATTAAGTTGACAACTCGTTTGATGAGTTGACATTGGAGGAGAGAGTGTAAGAAAACAAAGATTCTTTTTAGTACCGACAAGGGGGACAAGGCTTAATGATTGTTTTCTTGGGTAGGCTCCCCGGTGTTGTAGGCGGCGGCTGCGGTAGACATATTATATTTAAGTATTTAGGAGAAAATAAGATAAGGATAAGACAGGTGAAGGAGCCCTAGTTGACAACAACAAGTGTTATTTATATTAGTGTCAGTAGTTAGTAGTTACATTAAAATTTAAAAAGATAAGTAAATCTAATTTAGAGTTACGAAAGCACAAATTCATTATGGACTCAAAACAGGCCCATGTTATTTGATAAGAATAAAAGTTTGCTTTGACACTAAAAAGAAGATGGAAATAGACCCGAGAGATGGTAAAAAGAACAAGCATTATCACTTTGTCTGGCTAAGAATGTTAAAATATTTTTAAAGAATAAAGATCAAATAAATCTTTGAAATCTATGCTTTGGTCCGTTTAATTCATTGGGCCACGACAGTTACGGGGTTATGCTTGTAAAATGCAATTGCTTCTTTACCCATTTTCCTCTTTTTTAAAGAAAAATATATGTATATATTTTTAATAAAACCCCCTTGAGCTTCAGCTTTTATTAGGTTTAGGGCTCCGTGAATTTCCTCCCCTAAAGCCAAAACCAAGATGTCTACCACCGCCGCTTCCAACAATAACGAGCCACCGCGAACAAACAATGAGCATCCACACTCTCTGTCGCCGTCGTTTTCCTGGTTACCAAACGACACCGTTTTAAACATCTTAGCTAGGGTCCCGAGACGTAATCACCCGATTCTCTGTCGCGTCTCCAAAAACTTCCAATCTATCGTACGTTCCTCTGCGCTTCACCAGACTCGATCTCTCATGGGCAAAGATTATTTATACGTCTGCTTTAGAGACTTTGGTTCTCCTTCACTAGCGTATCATTGGTTCACTCTCGATGAAAATCGTTTAGTCCCAATCCCGTTATCTTCTCCGCCTCAGCCAAACTCTACTGCTCTCATGGTTGGTCACGAGATCTACTTCGTTGGCGGTTATATCAATAATCATTCTTGCAAGAGCATGTGGATCCTCAATTACGTGTCGTGCAAGTTACGTCAAGGTCCAAGTACGCGTGTGGCCCGACGTCGTGCAGCTGTGGGACATGTTGACAAGAAGATTTACGTGTTTGGACGGTTTGACCACAAAGACAAAGATATCCAAGCCGAAGTGTTTGACACAAAGACGCAAACTTGGGATGTCGCACCAAATCCCAATATGGATGTGCAGTGCATATGGATGTCGATGGTAAACCAGTCATTAGACAGAAAGATTTATGCGAGGAATTATAAACATGTCGTAGCTTATGACCCGAGAGATGGTAAATGTGATAAGATTTATTTACCAAATAATGATCGTTCGTGCAGCGATGACGTGTGTATGATAGACAATCTGCTCTATATACATTGCTCTTATGTTGGGTTAATTTGGTATGACTCTAAGGAGAAAGAATGGAGCGTAGTTAAAGGTCTCAAGCTCGACGTCTATTCTGCCTCCGAAGTTAAAATGGCAGAACACAATGGAAAGTTGGTGTTTTTGTGGACACGTTCTTGTCAAGAAGATACAAAATGGGAAATCTGGTGTGCAATGATCGCATTAGATAGAAGTGGAGTAGAGGTTATGGGAAAGGTTGAGTGGTTTGATCACGTACTTACCGTCCCTTGTGACTACAAGATTATGCATTGTTTAGGTCGTACTGATTAGTTAAAGCTATCTATGAAACGTTGTGCAATGATCACATTATCTATTGGGGACTGAAGCATTATATATCTCTTTCAAATTAAAAAGAGATTTTATGTTGATGGTAATGATGATGTTGTTATGATGATATTTATTACTTTGTGATTCATCAGTTTGGTTTGTTTGAAGGTGATCTTTATGCTCTGATATGACGTTTGTTTTTATAATTTTGATCGTTTTCACATATAACTTTGTAGAGCTTTTACATCAAATAGAACTTTTGTATGAAACATAAAGCCCTTGTTTTGTTGTTATCTTTGTATACTTTCGTTCTAATAAATCTCAAACGAAAATAAACAAAATATCTTTGAATCCTAAACTAAACTTGACCGTTTCGTTTCATTAACATACAATATCAGAATATCTTTATTTGTAAATCAATAAAAATAGTGGTAATTAATTCTTAAATTATTTATGTATAAATATTAGGATTAGGGGAAAACGTCAAAAGCCCTAGAATTTCAAGACGATGTCTACAATTTCCACCGGCGCTTCCAACACTAATGAGCCACCGTCGTTTTTTTCCTCCTTACCAAACGACCTCGTTCTGAACGTCTTAGCCTGCGTGCCGAGACGTTATTACCCAATTCTCACTTGCGTCTCCAAGAAGTTCCGATCTCTAGTGCGTTCCTCTGAGCTTCACGAGACTCGATCTCGTCTCGGCAAAAACTCCTTCTACGTCTGCTTTAGAGAATACGATGAAGACGATGGTCCTTCCTCAACCTATCATTGGTTCTCTCTCATTGAGAATCGTTTGGTATCGGTCCCATTCCCTTCTCAGCCTGATCCATACTCTGCTGCTCTCATGGTTGGTCCTGAGATCTACTTCGTTGGTGGTCACATCAGTCATGTTTCGATTTCAAGCAGCATGTGGATCCTTGATTCTCGCTCTGGAAAGCTGCGTGAGGGTCCAAACACGCTTGTGGCCCGACGTTTCACAGGCGCGGGACTTGTTGATGATAAGATTTACTTGTTTGGAGGGCACGACAAAGAAGACGAAGAGATTCAAGCGGAAGTGTTTGACACAAAGACGCAAACTTGGGATGTTGCACCAAATCCCAAAATGAAAAGGGAATGGTTAAGGATGTCGGGGATAAGCCCGTCACTAGACAGAAAGATTTATGCGAGGAATGTTACTGGACAAGTCATAGTTTATGATCCTAGGGATGGTACGTGTGAGAAGATTGATGTACCAAATAATGATGATGGTCATTGCAGTAAAGATGTAGTTGTGATTGAAAATGTGCTCTACATTTTCAAGTCTAGTTTCGGATTAATGTGGTATGATTCTAAGGAGAAGGTATGGAGAGTGGTTAATGGTTTGAAACTCGGCAAACGTTCTGCCTCCAAGGTTGCAATGGCAGAATACAATGGAAAGTTGGCATTTTTGTGGCATGATAGGATGAAGAAGGAGATCTGGTGTGTAATGATCACATTGGAGAGAAGTGGAGTAGAGATTACTGGGAAGGTTGAGTGGTTTGGTCGTGTACTTTCAGTCCCTGATGACTATAGGATTATGCATTGTCTTAATGAAGGTTGAGTGGTTCGATCGCGTACTTTCAGTCTCTATCTTATGCATTGTTTTGTATGAATTATATTAGGTATGAATGGAGTGGAGTGGTAATAATGTGATTCAAGTCTTCAACTACAGTTATAACTAGAGATTATATGTTATGGTGATGAAGTTATGATTTTAAGACTTTATGATAGTCATGATAATTAACATTAGTGTGGTTTCTTTATTGTGATAATCTTTATTCTCTAATTTTTTTATTTTTGGGATCAACCTCTCTGATTTGGTTTATGAATGATCTGTATTGTTTTCTAATTCCCATCTTCTTTTCTTTTTCATGAATCTCATTCAACTTCCTAAGTGAAAAATAGAAGCTAAAATTGAAAGACCTTAACGTCATCTCCTAATTTCCATCTTTTCTGTTAGTTAACGTCATTGACGATCGTGCATTGGTTGCAGACCTTACCAGTGAGACAATTTTGCCTCTCTAGCTAGGAATAATAACAAGACAAGAAGTAATTGTTTGATGTGTCAGCTAATAAATCATGAAACCCTCATCATATTCGCAGATTAATTAGGCTAACCTTTGTTGTAGTGTTCTAATTCCACAAGTGTTACAATAGGTGTCCTGAGATATCTTGTGGATCACGTTTCTTCTAAATGTTAATTTGGAAATCTACATCTTTTTTGGAAAACGTTCACGTTTAATAAATATGGTTTAATTACGCGCAAAGCACAAGGAATCTAGTAATCTACCTGGGACTTCAAGTCTTCAGCTACAGTTATAGGTAGTTTGACTTGGAATAGCTAGACTTGAGTACTCTTTTTAACAAGGTATTATTGTTCACTTCTTTTTCTTTAATAGGTTCACCATCATCCAAGGACTAGTGATGCAGAATGGAGCACACATGAAAATTCCCATCCCACATACACTAAGAAAAAGATATAAAAACTTTTTACCTTTCGATCTCGTTGACAATAAGATCTGTAAAAACCATGAGAGTAGCAGAGTAGGCTGAGAAGGGAACGGGATTGAGACCAGCGATTCTCAGAGAGACTGAACAGCAGACATAGAATTATCAGGAACATGTGTTTAGGGTTTCTCTATCTTACTTGTTTTTGGACAGAACCCTAACCCTATTATGATTAGTATTATAGACGAATATCTTATTTATGTAGGAGCCGGGAGGAGTGTCGTATTTAATTCATATAGGATTAAATAACTAGAAATAAGAATGTTGACTTTGTGTATATAAATTTGACTTTCCTATGTAAAAGCGGTTATACTTATACTATCACTAGTTGTTTTTCTCCGGCTAATCTTCTTAATTAAACTGAAACAAAGATTACAGGTTTACAAATTTTCATAGGTACATTCAAAAAACCATTAGATTATCAATGTAAAAGAAACAATATATATAACCGAAAAAGAACTAACACACTGATTCTGTGTATAAGTAGGCCTTACAACGCTAACAAATTTGTTATTTTCTTTTGCCAGGTGTTAATAATCCTCTACTGCAAGTTTCGGATTTTATTGATAGTAACAATAAGTTTAGGAATTTACACCTACTTAGGAAAAATGTCCGTGCTTATCCATGGATTACGTGGTATATTTGAAATGAAAAACTTTACAGCGAAATCAGCAGCTGTGAATAAGCATACATACCACTCGAGGAGAATAAAGGGGGTGAACCTTAGCTTGGCTATTAACCTGGAAAACATTCTTATGGAAAGCTTATATACCATTGTTTATATAGAAAATTCAGAGTTTCCTTAATATATTTGCGAAAAGATGGAAAATAAGATATTAGACTTAATTATCTGTTAGGTACATTTAAAATAAAAAAGTAGCATTTTGAAGTAATATTTTTTTTTAAAGATTTCATAGCTTTATTTTTATTGGTAATAAATTTGCTGTATTTATTGTATCAAATCTACATAACTAATAAGGCTAGGACACTCTCAACCTGGGGACATATGGCACTTTTTTTTTTTCCTCCCAACGCCAAAATGACGTCGTTTTGTGTTGTAGTTTTTTTTCCCGTCTTACACCAAAACAATGTCGTTTCCTGTTTTCTCTTTTTCCCGAATTTTTTTTTTCCGTCTCCTACGAAAAAGACATCGTTTAGTTTAGTGTCCATTTACAAAGTCAGATTCGCACACTTCTTCCCGCCGGCCCAATAACACTAATGGGCCATATCTGCAAAGTAAGTTCGGATAGGTCTCATTCGCTAAAACCAATTACATTAACTTTATGCATCTGTATATATGAACCTCAAATACACATATGCTCCTTCTTCTGTATATATCAATTATATAGATTTATGTGTAAACAAATTTAGACTGTGTTGGAATTTTATTTGAATTTATAAAACAAACAAAAGGAGTCATGAATTGTAGCGAAGGAGAGATGGGCAAAAAAATCTCTCCTAATACAGTATTTTGATAAATCGTGTTTAAATAGTTGTATGGTATAAAATGGCAGCATAAAGAGATGTTGCTACCCTTGAGCTTTTAAAAACCAAGGAAAAAGAGAGTATGGCACCATTCCTTTTCTTTTGATTCCTATTTGAAATTTACATAATCAAAACATACCTTTATAAAAAAATGTGGACTATATGTCTATATTGCGATCGAAAACATAGTTTTACACTGTGTCATGCACTCCAAACAATAACTATTGATTATTATGGTTCACCCGCTTAAGGTAAATACGTACTATTGTTTCATAAAAAAAAATGATAATGAATTAATTTCTTTTGTTTATTTTTTAATAAATGATAAGAAAATGACTGAAATTCACTATAGACATTACTTTACAGAATAAGCAATCAAATGTAACTATAATATAAATGGTCAATGATTTTGAGATAGATTTGTTTACATAAAATAAGTAAATTAAATTATCAAAAAGAAACACAACATTCAGTAAATTAATAATTAATAACTGCACAAAATACAAAAATGTTTTCAAAAATCAAAAAAAAAATTAAAAATATTTTAAACAAATAAAAACCCGCGCGTTGCGCGGGTCCTCTCCTAGTCTCCTCTCTAATTTTTCTATAGATTTTGTAATGACAAGTGGCTACCTAAATTATGGTACTAATGATATTTTACATATTTTAGCAACATATTTAATATCTTAACATTCATACCAAAAACAAAAATTAATATTTGACCCAAAACGTTGTCATAACTCATAACCAAAAAGTCATTTCACTTTTGGTGTTTCTTGTTTTCCTCTTCACTTCCGAAAAAGCCCTAGTTCTAAGATTCTTGTTAAGATCGTAATCTTCTGAGAATCCTAGGAAAAAAAAAAATCAGGAGAAAATTTAGCAAATTGTTTTGATCCAATTCGAGAATGAGTCAACCCTCCGAGAGTCAGCCTTCCGACAACAGTCAGCCTTCCGACATCAGTCCGCCTTCCGTGATTCTCGCAACGGCTAGCTATGATCGTACCATCCGATTCTGGGACGTCACAACCGGTCGCTACTACCGTACCATTTACCATCCTGCTTTGGTCTCTCTCTCTCTCTCTAGATCTCACTAGATCTCTCTCTCTCTCTCTATTGATTTGCTTAATGAAATTTTTTGAATTTTCATTTCATATGAAACTGGTTTATCTCAGCCCGTAAATGAGCTCCAGATGAGCCATCAACGAAACCAAGATAGGCCTCAGAATGTAAACAAGCTCGAGATAAGCCCAGATAAGCGTTATCTGGCAGCAGCTTGCAATCCTTACATACGAATCTTTGAAACCGATTATGAAAGTCTTGAACCTGTATATATATATATATATATATATATATATATATATATATCTACATCCTTTTTTTTAATAATTTAATTTGTTGTTGTTGTAACAAATATGATCTTGATATATGGAGTCTTACGTTGGCATTAGGTGAGGACTTTTGTTTCACACACCAACAATGTTACGGCAATAGGGTTTAATTATGATGGCCAACTGATGCATTCAGGATCAGAGGATGGCACAGTTAAGATCTGGGACATGAGGTACATTAATCTACACTTAGCTGAAATCATTGTTGATATATAGATTCATTCATCAAAGTATGTGTGGATTCTAGAAAAATATGAAGACAAAAAGAACATTTTAGAGTTAATTAGTATGATCTTAGCATCACATTATTTGACTCCTAATCCTAAATGTAGGGCTCCCCATCAGCACGAGGTGTACGAAATGAGATGCGTAAAGGACTATGCCAATGATTACGCTGTTAACACAGTTGCTTTACACCCAAATCAGGTATATCTATCAACTATAGCCAAGTCATATATATGTTAGTGTTTGTATTGTGGGCAATCTATCAGCTTTGTTGTGTTGATGTTGTTGAAACATTTGGTCTTTTTTTTTTTCTTGTTAGGTTGAGCTGATATATGGAGACCAAAAGGGCAATGTTCGTTCTTGGGATCTCAGAGTAAACAAGTGTATATATGAACTGGTACGTTTCTTTACCCTATAGTTACATTTCTGAGAATCCATTGATAATGACTGAGTATGCCGCTATAGGTACCAGAAGCTGGTGTAGCTGTGCGGTCTTTAACTGTTATGCTGGATGGGACAATGCTGGTTGCTGCAAACGATCGTGGCATATGTTATGCATGGAGCATTATGCCTGGAGATCAGGTACTGTTCTTTCTCTTTTACTATATATGCCGTATAGTATTTTACTCTGATCATGTGTGGATTGATTTAACAACGAAGCATTGTAGAAATTCATGTTGGAGAAATTAATTAAGAGTTGTAGAAAGACATTAAATTGAAAGAAAGAAACATGATAAATTTAGCCGTTTATGTTACGTTCTAGGATTAGTAGAGCTCAAAATTTATATAGGGCATATGTTTAGCCGTTCCAGATGTATCCTAAAACATAGCCTAAACCTTTTGTTCTACCTTTCATATATGTACCCGTATATCTTAATTATCGTTCTGAAAACATTATCTAAAAATTCATTGAGAAAATTAATTTGAGAAAGAATTTGGATGAGATGATATCTTATGTTGGAAAGAATTGTAGAAAGACACTGAATTGAAAGAAAAATAAAAAACTTGGAAGGTAGAACAAAAGTTTTAGGTTATGTATTAGGATTAGTGGGGGCTCAAATTTTATATAGGGGATGTATTCCAATGATCAGTAGGGTTTCCAGATTTACGTATCACAAACTATTATTATACTAAATCTCACTCCGAAAACATTATTTGGAAAGTCATTTTGGATATAATAATGGCATCTTATCAGTTGTCTTTGTGAGGTTGATTGATTTGTGAGCATGATACGTAGAAACCAATTGAACAAGTAGAAAATATACTTCTCAAATAATGTTATAGAGATTTGTTTTAAGAGTATTGGTCATATACTAGGAGAGAGCTGAGTTTATACCTTGTCCACGTTCAAATCGTCCATGGCATTTAAAATGTCTAATCTTTTTCAGATGACGAGCGTGTATGAGCCCCTTCATAAGCTAGAAGCTCATGATCACTTCATTCTCAAATGTCTCATCTCTCCTGATAACAGGTAATGTTTTACTTAGCCTTTCTCTTAAACGTCTTCTTCGGCCCTGTGAAGTTCTTATATATTTGTTAACTAATCAGGTACCTAGCAACCGCATCAACTGATAAAACTGTCAAGATATGGAACACCAATACTTTCCAGCTAGAGAGAGTTTTAACAGGTAATGGTATCTCTATCTTTTTGAAAGTTTTTAGTGTTGGCTTCTCCGTTACACTATCATATCGTCAACCTTATTTTAACAAGACATGAAAAATGGGTCTGGGACTGTGCCTTCTCAGTGGATACAGAATTTCTTCTAACAGGTACTAGTTTTTTATACACTTGAAAACTTATGCAAGACATATATAAGAGTACTTAAACTGGTTTTTGATTCTGTAATATGCACAGCATCATCGGACGAGACGGCTAGGCTGTGGAGGATGCATGATGGAACAGAAGTGCAAGTGTACCGAGGTCATCACAAAGCCACTGTGTGTTGTGCACTCAGTGATTAGATTCTGAACAGAATCAAAAAGGCTAAGTTATGAACAATTTATGATTGTGTGTGTTTGTGTGTTTTGAAAAAACTCGTATGTTTGTTTCAGCCGGATTCGTTCCAATTGCTTATGTGAACTCTTTGTGATTTTACATTTCTCTCTAAAATAAAACGAAAAAACTCTCATAATTTTCTCTCTCTAGACCACTAATTTCTCATTAATAAGCAGCACATAATTTTCCATGCCCTTTATATCGGTTTGTTCAAGCATATTTTAAGGACTTTTTCTCTATCGGTTTTGGAGTATTTTAAATTATGTAATCGAAACCTTTGTTACTACAATATATCAAGTAACATTTATGTTTCAACCTTTCAAAATTCTTAATGTTCGTTTAAAGAAGCATTAGTGCTGATCAATGGTCAAATATAATATCTATCAATGGTGAAACCTTTTTTTATTTAGGATTTGTTACAAGTACCAGCTGTATATCCTCTAAGATAGTTTACATCGTACTTGACTACATCATACATGCGACATTCTTGATCGACCAATGATCTTCATTACCATCCATACATCTCTTTTACCTAAACAATGTTGAATACTATAGTCACAACTCACAAGGGACGGACACCACTTGATTGACCCATGCATCACTCCTTCACTCCTATTCAAAGAGATTAATCATTGATTCATTGCGCACCAAAACTCATGTAGTATCTACCCTAGTCAAAGAGATTGTGTTAAAGGGATATCGGACAGAAGAACAGATCAGTTCTTAGAGATGCAAGAGAATACTGGATGATATTATCTCTTAGAGTAAAACAAAAAAAAATATTATTGTTCCATTACACAACTAAATGCACACCGGTTTTAATCATCACTAAATCAGAGTCACTTTCTGAACAACGGAGACAGCAGCCTGTGGGTGGCTGTTAATCCACGTGGAACTCGTGGAGGAAAATTATTTTATTAGGCAACAGCCGACAGTGGCCTCAACGTTTGTCACGTTGTGTGATCAGAGAGCGAGTGGACTTTTAATGTGTACTCTCAGGTGGACATAGTCGTGTGTCTATCGGAAGTTGGCAAAAGCTCCGGTGACTTGTCAACGGTGGCCCCTTCCCGTTCCGTCGAATCCCATCGTCTTTACAACAAGTTGAATAGTTATCGTAAAATACATAATCAAACACTCTTCTTTTCATAATTTATCAACAAGGCTACAAAAGTCAATGGCTTTTGACAATTCATTCACAATTTTTTTTAATGTAGTCTACAAAGAGAAAAACCAAGCACATAAGTACTTTTAAGAAAAAAACTCATAAATAACACAAAAAGAAAAATGGTTGATATAAAAAAAACGTACTATATCAATTCATTCAAAATCGTAAATGAACTGTTTCTCTTATGGCATGTGTGTAAGTTATTAGTCTAAAATTGCACGAGATACCATCCTCAATAATTTGTTTTTTTGGGTCAAATTTTGTTTTTGCTATGTGTAACCAAATAAAAAAATTATTTATTAGAGTTTACTTTTTGCAATTTATCAGATTTGATTATGAACACGTTACATCTACCATAACACGTGTCCAAACACACGTAAGAGTGTCCGCATCGTAGACTTTCCTCCTGTCGTTTAAGAAGTTACAGCGATAAAAAAAAAAAACAAACAGAGAGAAGACGGACCGTCGATCTGCTTACGTCATCACCCATGTCATCTACACCGACACGTGTCAGTCGAAGGCCCACAGGCCACACGATCCATTGGCTCGTTCGGTGTTAGCCTCCGGTCTGTGATACCTTCGCGCTGTCTCTCTCTTTTCTTCTTCTTCCATCTCTCTCTCTCTCTCTGTTCCCCAAAAATTTGGACGCAGCATCTCTCTCTCTCTCTCACAGGAAGGAAAAGGGAAAAGTCTTCTCCTTTTCTATGAATAGCAATTAAAAAACCCTAGCACGACTCTCCGCCGTCTTTACTGTTTCAGAGTCTCTTGGATTCATTTCGCGGGTTTAATTTTCTGGGTTAATCGTTTGGAATCGGCTTCAGGTGTCAATTTCTCCGGTGAGTTTGGAATTTTAGTCCTTTTAGAGAACGGCGTGTTGAAATTGAATAGCTTTCAGTTTGGTTTTAGTTTGTTATCAATCGTTGTTCGTTCACCATTTATAGCAAAAAAAGTTGAAAGCTTTCTTAAGTATCGATTCACTTTATTCGAAATTTTCGTTTGATTTGGAGACTTATGCTGCTCTGCTTCTTCCTCCACAGCTTTTCCCAATTGTATCTGATGAGCTCCTGTTGAAGATTCTGGATTATCAGACTGTGTAAATTGGTTTGTGTTGAAGAGCGTTCCTGTCAATGCCATATGGCTGAAGAGAGCCAACGGGTTGGTACGATGATGTCCTCTGGTTTGGCTGTTTTACTGAACGGTGAAGATGCCAAGGAAAATTCATCGAAAACTCGTATTGTTCCTCATTTCGACTATTCTGGTCACCGGCCATTAGAACGGACTATCGAATTCGTATTTGGTCTACCAGAGAAGTCGATTAGTCCATTGGATGGTAAAGTAGACAGTAGCTTGATCCGAGCAGTAATCAAGAATCAATTCTCTAAGCTTCATTGTGAATTAAATGCTTCGGTTAGTCAGAGAGAAGGAATCTCTGTAGTGAATCATGGTGTTGGACCTCCGATTGTTGGCCTTGAAGAGTATAGCATATGTGGTGATATCAGGATTGTGAAGCCTCCTCTTGTGTTGGAGAGCTTAGCGCTCTTCAGCAGCGCTAGGGCTAATGCTTGTGTCTGGAAAGGAAAATGGATGTATGAAGTTGTGTTAGAGACCTCAGGGATTCAACAGCTTGGATGGGCAACCATTGCTTGTCCTTTCACAGACCAGAAAGGTGTTGGTGATGCTGATGATTCATATGCTTTTGATGGTCGAAGGGTGAGCAAATGGAACAAGGAAGCTGAGCCTTATGGGCAATCATGGGTAGCTGGGGATGTCATTGGTTGCTGCATAGATCTGAACGGTGATGAGATAACCTTTTACAGGAATGGTGTTTCACTTGGAGTTGCGTTTACTGGTGTCAGGAAACTTGGACCTGGATTCGGGTATTACCCTGCTGTTTCTCTCTCGCAAGGTGAGAGATGCGAGTTGAATTTTGGTGGTTACCCGTTTAAGTACCCTGTAGAAGGTTTCCAGCCGCTTCAAGAAGCTCCACCTCGGAGTTCTTTTGCAACAGAGCTACTAAGATGCTTCTCAAGGTTGCTAGATAGGCCAGACCGCTCGTTGGCAGATACATTGAGTAGACTGAGGAGGTTTGCCTCGGTTGAAGAACTCTTTTCTCCTGTCTCTCGTGCCATATGTGATGAGTTCTTCTACGTACTTGAGCAAGACCCGTTGTTGCCTGAGTACTTAGGACGGGGTGCGTTTCTGTCGTTTCTCTTGGAGGTTTTCAGAACTCAAGCACCGCATGACTGTTCAAGTTTGGACAGAGTTCTTGATGTGCTTCTTGATTTCCCAGAGTCTCATTCGTTGTTTGAGCATGTAGTGAATGCTCTTGCTTGTGGCTGCAAAACAGCGACGCTGGTTCTAACCGAGTGTCCGTACTCTGGACCTTATCCTTATCTTGCGCTGGCTTGTCATTTGTTAAGACGGGAAGAATTGATGGTACAATGGTGGAGATCTTTGCATTTCGAGTTTCTGTTCGAGAGTTTCTTGTCATGCAGGAGTTCCAACAAGCATGACTTGCAGCATCTAATGCCTGTTGTGTGGTGGCCTGGATCCTCTGATGATATTTCCTACGAGAGTAGCATGGGATTCACGATCTCTGCTCTCTCTGAAGCCATTAACAAGGTATGATACAATAACGCTCACTGTTTTACTTTTGATATTACAAGGAAGCATAACTTATTAGTTTCCCTCTCTTGGAATTCAGATTGAGGAGAAGCAAAGGAACCTCTGTCTCTTGGTCATACAATTCATACCACCCGTATCGCCTCCCCAGCTTCCTGGTTCAGCGTTCAGGGGATTCCTGCAAAACCTTTTGTTGAAGAACAGAGGCGCAGACAGGACTTTGGCCCCTCCTGGAGTTACTCGTAATTCAGTTCTTGTGTCTCTCTTCTCTGTCATACTCCATTTTCTGTCAGAAGGTTTCACGATGCTGAAGAGTAGTGAAGCTCTCCATCACAATGTTGGTTTTCTTCACAGAGGTGGTCAGCAGAAGTTTCCGTTGAGTTTGTTTCTTAAAAATGATCCACATCGAGCTGATATCACTAGGCTTGGCGGGCTATTTAGTCATATATCCAAGTCGTACCCCACAGATGATCAAGAAAACGAGATAATGAGGTGGGAAGAAGGTTGTATGGATGATGAACAGAACAGAGTAACTCACGCAACTGAGCAGAAGCCATGCTGTTGCTTAGCCTATGATACTGATCTTACTAAATCCTTGAAGGATCGAGGGAAAAATACTGCTAAAAGTTCACGTGGTCAGTGCAGCTCCATTCCTGAGAGATCCTCTCATGCTGCTGCGGATTGTAGTGCTGGAAGTTTCAGTGAAGAAATTGAGGATAAACCTAGCACAAGTAATCAGTCTGACGCCGACTTTGGTTATCGTCCAGTTAGATTTATGAGGACTGCACTACAAGAGAGTAGAATATCATCGGCTATACTAAGCGAAGAAGAGCTATTGGATGCTCTGTTGCTATTATACCATATTGCTGTCGCTCCAAATTTTAAGCAGGTAAGCTTAGTTTTTCCCCTCTTGTTTAGATTATGTAGTGTGGTTTGTTTGTTAAATTTGCTTGAAAGGCTGATAGGTTGTTCTTTTGCGTAGGCATCATATTACATGTCTCACCAATCGCAGTCAATATCACTTCTCGAAGAAACGGATAAACAGATAAGAGAACGGGCTTCTAGTGACCAATTAAAGCGCCTGAAGGAAGCTCGCAACAACTACAAGGAAGAAGTGATGGAGTGTGTTAGACATTCAGCATGGTAAGTTTCTCTTTAACTCTTGTGGATTGCAGTAAC